AAAGGTGGTTTTCTGTCCTGTGTTTTTGGGGGGGGGGGGGGGGTGTTGATCGCAACAGAAAGCAAGATCAGCCAGCCCGAGAGGAGAGGATGCGAAAGTGTAGTGGACGGACGGGTAGTCGGTGGCTTCTGGAGGTTGAGAGACAAACCCGGCTTGGGGCTTGGCGCGTCTCCCCCCCCCCCCCTTCAAACCAAAAAGGCCCAAATGTTCTTAGCTTCTTATGCTTATCAGCCACACACCAAGTTCCTTATCCAATGACTTTGTTTTGTTTTGCTGTTCCTTCGTATCGCCTGCTGCCTCCATATCCCATCCCACCCCATCCCATGGCCTGGCTGCGATAAGCCAACTTTTTAGTCACTATCTCCAACTTATATGAAATGTATAAAAATGTATGAAATGTAATAAATGAATGAAAAAATCACAAAAACTCAAATGGTATCTCCCGGTAGCCCCGCAATGCAATAGACTCAATCAGAGGAAAATGAAACAATGAAAACATGCTCCCTAGGCCAATTCGTTCATCGCTGATACCGCGGTAATGACTCGTCGCCATGCGCCATGCCACCCACCAAGTGATGGTCTTCTTCGCCATCGTGGAAAACCGGCGCCGTGGGTGCGTCACCCGACTCAGCTGGTGCTACATCCATGTCCTCGGGCGCGCTGGCCTGCGCCATCAGTCGCCGTCGCTCCAGCTCTTGTTTATCATCTCCCGTCTGCGCCGCCTCACTGGCAGCCATGGCGCTACTGCCAGGCACTACCGTCTGCATTGACTCGGCGGAGATGGCCGGGCGCGGGGCGACATTCTCAATTGGTGAAGGCAGATGATGGTAATCCTGGAGGTGGTCGTCTTCCGGTAGCACTGGAGCCGTGGGCATGACCATGTCCGACGATCCGACTCCTGGGTCATCCTCAAGAGGCTGACTAGGGAGAAGCATCTGCTCAGCACGCTGTAACCGTGTCTTTTCATCCATCGGCTCTTCCGAAAGAGGGGTGAACGCCATCTCGCCGAGCGATTGATACGACTGCAGCCCATCCCCATACCCTGGTCCCGGATACTCAGGCCAGTTTGACGGATCATAGGGGTACGCCTGGTCTTCACGATACTCCGTTTCACCGTTGGGCTGCGAATTCGGCTCAGTTGGCCATACTTCTCGCTCAGTGATGGAACTGCCCTGCGAAGGCTCATCTGGTCCTGGCGCCACTGACGGCGCAGATTCCGCCGGTTTGACTCCCCGCTGCGAATCTCGCGTGCCAATCACGACCTCAAACACGACTGCCACAACACCTTTCTCGCGCCGAATTTGGTCCGTATCCAGGATATTGCCCGACCAGTTGGCTGTGATTGCACTGTTGTTGATATCGGCCGGGTTCAGCACTTGTCCACTGGGCGAATAATTACCACCCGAGGTGACCATATTGAACCGTGGCAGAAACCGATCGGGAGAAGTGAGCTTCCCACGAAGATCGACCACAACCTCGACATAGTATCGGAAATTGATCATACTTCCTGGGGTACGCGTGATGGTGGGAAAGGTGTCTTCGGGTACACGGATCGAGGTCTTGATGACGGCCGTCATGGTCACCGGATCTACTATAAGAGGTGCAAAGGTCTGCGTCAGATCTTTGCGAAAGACCCCCGTGGTGCGACTAGAGCCGAGGGTTAGACCACCCAGACCCGTCCGGGAGCGTGGATAGCAGTCCTCATAGACGGGTTTCTTTCCGTCCGGTTTGCCCATAGGAATCGCCGGATGCAAATCGATCCGTCCCTGGCGGTAAAGGGTCACAATTATACCATGCGCGCTGCGCACTTGTTTGCAATGGTTGATAGTGACCAAGATCGGTAATGTATCTCCGGGCAGCACGCCCGCGCGCAAAACTTCGGCCTTGGCGGTAATTATTCCATCCGTCACCGAGGGGGTAATGCTCCGCGCCTCACTATTGCGCATTCCGGTGCTGGTCGACGAGCTTGGATCGCTGGGAACTCGAAAGCTCTGGCTGCTGTTGCTCGGTCGACTGGAAGAGCTGACGTTGCTGGGTGCCGGACTGAGCGGCGGGCGATTGTCGGTCGAGCTCTCGCCATTTTCTGGGGGATCGAGCGATTGCGTATCGGGCGCGTCAGATCCTGCTGACTTGGCCTTCGCTTTGGACTTGGCGCGTCGGGAGACTGGCTCGAGGGTGACAATTCGAGGTTTGGGGCGAGGAAAGGGGCCAATATCAATGTTTTCCAACACAGTGACGCGTCGTCGGCAGGTGGAAGTCGGATTAATCGTGGTCGGCTTGGTTAGGGTGGACGTAAGCATGTAGGAGATGGTCCCTCGTTCGAACTGCGTACGAGTCATGATATCAGCATCGGCCACTTTCAGCGGGTCGGTTAGTTGTCGCAAGGCACTTACATTGATGCTGCTGGGTAGCGCATACGGTGGAAAAGACATCTCGAAGCGGAACTTGTAGACACCCTCCTTGAGACGACCCTCCCCGCACAGGACAACCTCATCCTCAAACAAGGTTGACAAGCCATTTCCCAAGTATTCCGCCCCTCGACGCCCGCGTCCGGGACCCAGAAAGCCCAACTCTGGTGATGATTCCCCCGTTGGGACGGTATTCTTGTAAACTTTGACATAACCATGCAGACAGACGACGAGATGTGTGATGCGAACGGGCCGAACAACGGTTAGCACGACTGTGCCGGTGATGGTGTCACCTGGAAAGTAGGATCGCCAGGGATCGTCAGGCTCAATGTAGAAGTCGGTGATGCTGCGATTTCGAGGGCCGAGTTGGGAGCGGAATTTGGCTAGGAGGGAGCTGCTATTCCGACGGAGCGTCGAGGAAGGTCGAGAAGGTAGAGGGTTGACGGACATGACACACAGCCACTACGTCGCCCAATCCATACAAATGGCGAGCGAGATGAGGTGGCTGGCAAGCGGCGAACGCAATGGACGTAGAAGAATCCAGCGCAGTCAATTGAGGGCGAGCAGGAGGGCAGGGAGACTGCCGAGCCAGAGGGAGCAAGGAGGGGAAGGGAGGGGTGGAATCAAGACGAGCCTCTCAGCGCGGCGTCCTGCCGTCGAATGACGAAAGCCGTCGATTCAGGGTCGACGAGGCAGCAAGGGGCGGGTAACGTGAGGAAGGATGACAAGCTAGAAAATAGGTGCCGACCAGAATGGAAGATGGGAGTGCGATCGAGACAGAGAGAAAATTCTCCGTTCCTAGCATCAAATCAAGCAGGCAAGCAGGCAAGCAGGTAAGCAAGCAGTCAATCCCCCGGCAGGTCCGGCCCGATTTGGCCGTCGGGCGCGAAGGCAGTCAGCAGTAACCACCAAGATCTTTTCAACCTCCGTAGCTAACGCAGCAGGAGAAATTAACTGGATGGCGCGCAATTTATGAGAGGTTGCGTCGCTTCAGCCTAGGTTGTGAAATCACGCAGAGGGCCACAGGGCGCGTGGGGGAGAGGCCCCAATCCGGGGTGGGGAGGGGAAGACGTGTTCGGGAAGGACCTTTCTTGTCCGACCGTCAGGAAACTTAGCAGAGGCTAGCTAAGCAGAAAGAAGTAAAAGAAAGAAGGAAAGAAGGGGAGGAATGAAGAGAAGAATTATCCGGGGGAGAGGGGGGAGGGGAGGGGAGAAGAGAGAATTGTCAAGGATTAAGAGTCGGGCTGACTGGTCCGCATCATTTCTTCGGGATGGATGGAAATGCGAACAATGGATGAGAGGAGCGAAAGCGAGAGGCAGAGAGTAGGCAGGTAGAGGAAATTAGAGGGACTAGAGGGAGAAAGAGAGCGAGAGTGGAGCTCAAGTGGGAGAAATGACAAGATGAGATGGATGGATGCTAGAAAAGCCCCCCTTAGGCTAGGATGACTAGACTTGACTAGGAGTAGCAGTAGGTCCGAACCCAAAGGGCGTTTTTGGACCGTGGAGGGCCAAAGCTTAAGTGGGAAATAGTGGGAGGGGGGAAAGAGGAGATGCAGGTCGTTGATGCAGGTGATAAGTTAGAGAAGAGACGGGGGGAGGGAAGAGGAGGGGTAGAAGAAGAAGAAGAAACCAGAACGAAAAAGAGAGAAAGAAAAGACAGAAGAAAATAAATTGCAGTAGAAGGAAAAGAAGAGGATGAAGATGAATGTAGTCTGAAGGTATTGTAGGTAGTGAGCGAGGTGAGTGAGTGGAAGACCCCCCGGGGGGGGATGAATTGGGATGGGATGGGATGGAATCGGGGAGTGGGTTAGAGAGAGAGAGACAGACAGACGGGGGGGGGGGGGGGGCGAAGAAAGGTGGGATTGGGAAAGGGAAAAAGAGGAGAATCGACCACGGTAAGTGCAGATAAGCAAGAGGAGGCGAGACAGTCAAGCTTCTCTTGGGCCGTTCGTGGCTCGGCAGTTTCCACTCCCTCCTCGGCTGGAGTTGGAGCCGGCGCCTGGAGCACCACTAAATACATACTGTATAATTACTCAAATTGCCCAGATTTCCTCCACACACACACACTCACTCTCTCCATCTTATAAATCAACAATTCACACAACAATCATCCCCCTCAATCAAAGATCTCCCGCAATCCCTCCCCTTCCACATACTCCTCCTCCCCATAACATTCACGCTGCACCGCCCGCAACACCTCCCGATCGCCGCCGGTCAGCCGATCGACCAATCCTTCCAAGACATAGATATTCTCCGTCCACATCAGCGCCTGACGCCGAAACTCCTCCGTTTCCTCCACCACGCACGACAAGCTTTTCTCCTCCTCGACTTTTCCTTTGTCTTTGTCACCGGCTCCCGAAACCGCCGTCACCTTCCCCTGCAGATGACGAATCTCATCCTGCAACTCCACTTTCCGTAGCATTAGCCGCTCCCTCTCCTGTTCCCTATCATAAGCCTTTTCTTCAACACCACCGGTAGTCCCACCATCACCATCACCACCACCACCACCACCACCACCACGCCCCCCCGCCTCCTTCTTCCTCTCTTTCTCATCCTCAACCCTCTCCCTCTCCTCCGCATCCCTCCTCTCCCTCACCAACTCCTCCAATTCACTCACCTCCTTCCCCACCACCTCCACCTCCGCCTGCACCGAACGCAGCCGGTTTTCGCGCTCGCGCTTCGCCTCCCCCGCGAAACTCCAGTACCAGTTCAGACTCCCGATCTTCTCCACATGGATCTCATTCTCGTCCACCAGCTCCTGGAGGAACCCCTTCACTTGGATCGCGTGGATCGAGGCCACCGCGGGCAGGGACTTCTCCAGCTCCTTCAATGTGTGGCAGGTGCCGCTGGCGCGGAGGTGCGCGACGATCAGGGCCTGTTTGGCGCTCTTGGGGAGTTTCGGGGGCTTGGGGGGTAAGTAGCATTAGCTGGGGTTTTTTGTGTTGGTGGCAGCGAATTGGGGTTGAGGTAGGGAGGGGAGGGGGAGGAGGGGGGGTGTTGGTCAAGGTAAGTGAGGTGGAGAGTTCGGTGCTCGCCCCGGGGCTGTGGGGGGGGCATCCCTGTCGGCTCACCATGATTGCTAATCGCGAGGCTTGTTTTGATTTGAGACGTAGATGTAGACGTAGTCGTGGACGTAGTCTTGTGGATCTTGGTTTGATATTGGCAGGGTTGGTTGTGTGGGATTAGCATTTGAAAGACGAATCCATCTGTGTCGAGGGGAGAGCAAGTAGATCGATAGTTGGTGATTGTGAGAGGTGGAAAGGTGCTCAGTATAGGCAGTGGTGGTGGGCCGGCTGAGGTTGTTGTTGTGGCAATTTACTAGGTACGTAGGTACTGTTCTCCAACACTCCCGCGAGTCTATTGGATGGACCATCAATCAGGCACGATGTGTGCCTGAGGCTGGGGGAACACCATGAATCAAGGTGGTCCGTACTGGCCAATCTAGTAACTCACGGCCTACACGGCACTAAAGAAGAGAATCTCACGCAGGTCGAGTTGGCACTGCACTATGGCCTTTTTCAGGATAGCAGGCTTATCAGCCCTATTGGGACAGTATTAGGCACAGTATCATGCACCTCCCTCGATCAGACATGCACCTCCCGGACAAAACCCCCCTCTTTGGACGTCTCCTCAAGGTGGTGGATCTCATTACCTCCCTTTCCGACTCCGGCCACCCCTCCCACCACTGCCTGGTCCCCATCGAAGTGCTTCGCAATCTCCTCGAGGGGGGTGTTACGGGTCTCGATGTAGAAGAACCAGACGACCGTCAACTCGACCCCGAGCCAGACGCAGTAGAAGATGTAGTACTTCCAGCCCAGGTTGTCCATGGCAATGGGGTTGATGTATTGATTGAAGAAAACTAGATGGGAGTTAGTGTTGATCCTTAGGTATCATTGACCATTGCCATCCGAAAGGGGAAAAGCTCACGTGCAGCATCGATGCAGAACCACATCACCGTCATGCCCTTGGCGCGGATACTGTAGGGAAGAATCTCAACCGTGTAGCCAACCAGTAGGCCGGACCAGGCGACGTTGTAGAAGACATAGTAGATATAGATCATCGCCACGACGGCGTTGGCAGCCCCGTGGTTATGAGCAATTTCATACCGCGCCGAGCAGATGGTCCAGATAATAAATGCGACCAACATACCGGCTGTGGAGATCAGGAAAAGCCGGCGCCGGCCGACCTTGTCCACAACAAAGCACATCGACAGAGCGACAATGAAGTTCAAGATTTGGAGGCAGCCGTTGATCAGGTTCTGCTCGACGGACTTGGTATATCCAATGGAGCTCAGGATCTTCGCAATGTAGTACGAGACCAACCCGTTGCCGGACCACTGCGAGAATAGGCCTGCAGTGATCAAAATGATGACACGGTGACGATTTCCTTTGGTCCGAATCAACTCCATCCAGCTGTTGCTTTCGTACTCCTTCTCTAGTCGGATGGTCTCCTTGATTTCGTGCATCTCCAGCTGCACAACTTCGTCCTCCTGGTTGCCGTTGGCATGGCAGTCCGCCAGGACCTTCAGGGCCTGCTCATGTTTGCCCTTGTAGATCAGGAACCGGGGAGACTCCGGAACAAACCAGATGAAGATGATCTGCAGGATGGATGGAGCAGCCTGAACGATCGTGGGTGCCCGCCAGGACCAGTTGTTTTGAATGTTGTTCGTGCCGAAGGTGAGCCACGCGGCAATAATGGCGCCCACGTACCATGTCGCTAACGCAGCGATCAGTATTAAATGGATGATCAGCATAGTACGAGAACCTACTATTGTAGATCGTGGTAAAGACGGCACGATGTTGGGTATGTACAAGCTCCGTGATCAGCAAGGGTGAAGCACCATGCGCGATGGCAACTCCGAACCCGATCAAGAACCGGGCTGCCAAGAACATGCCATAGTTGGCACTGATGGCCTGCAAGACGACGCCCAGAATCCTGATCATATAATGAGCACAGCACAGACTCGGAACAGTAGTTTGAGGCACTCACATGATGAGGCAGCCGATGAGAACTCCCATCCGCCGGCCAAGGTAGTCCGCCGTATAGGGCACCGCAGGCAGCGCCGCCAATGAGCCCAGAGACATAATCGCACTCAGGATGCCAAGTTTTGAGCCACTGGGGTTGTGGAAGTAGTCTTTCCAGTAGTACAAGGTTTGGAGACCATTCATCATCGACCCATCATAGCCGTTCGTGGCCTGAGACCCTGTCAGTAACGTGTCCTGCACCGGGAGATCCCCGCCAGCCAAGTGTATGCACATACGGAAGTCAATACGACAAACATGAGGCAAATGTACGTCTTCCTCATGCCAGGATCCTTGTACCATGTCACTCGGGGAAACTGCTGGCCAGCGAGCTCGAAGGTCCCGGAAGAACCCATAGTGACCGTTCAATGCGTAGATTCGAAGCGTAAGAGAGGTAATGTAGGACACTCAGCCAGTTTCCTGCATAAGAGTTTAAGAGGAAGAGGACATCTTTGAGGCGCGGGAACAGGCTTAAAATCTAGTGTCTGCCAGGTTTACCATCCGGCTATTTGGCATACGAGGACCATGCCAAATGTTCACCGGTCTAGGAGAGCTCGCGAGCTCGCGGCTAAACCTAGGTAACGCCTAAACAGATGCAGTCTCCTGTGAATAGCTACACGGGGAAAGAATCAAGGCCTGGCTCTAACATTATCCAAAAGGAACGACGGCCTGGTCCCAAAGCCCGGTCTGGCAGTGAGCCAACCACTCAAGGTTGGGCCGGGCCGAGAACCTAGGCATGTTTTGAAGATACTAGCTGGACGAGTCGAACAAGGTCAATCACCCTGATTCGCAGACTGGAGATGTGATCTTGATTTAGGCTAAACATCGAGCATGAAGCTGGTGCCGGCGAGAGGCCCACCACGATCATCCCACCGAAATCTGGGGATGCGGTCCGGGGTACAGGGAGTGGAGGGTCTAGTTTCATCCACCCAAGCGTAAACGAGTGTCTAGTCCAGAAGTCGCAATGGCCAAGACCTTGGCCTGCGCCTCCCGGGACGGATTTGACATTGCGCTACTGTTCCCGATGATGGGCGCGACTGGAGACTGGTTGGCCACATTGGACGAGCCCGAGCTAAATTAAACCCCTCGCTGGAGGCGTAAGAGCTAGGCGAGTGATACGCTGGCCACTTTTCACAAGCGACTTGGAACGGATAATATCATGCGCTCTCAGCTGATGAGGTGAGATGGTCACTTGACACGTGCCACTGCTTGCTGACAGTGTTCCGTTTGTGGCTGTTTTCAAATTACCCAACTCGTGTTGCTGGCTATTAAGCATCTCCTGGTAAAGTGATTCATGAGTGGTTGAACCGTGCCTCGGCCATTGACCTGGACTCAGAAGTTTGCGGCCGTGGTTCAAGTCATGCGACAACAGTTTCAGGTGGCGATACAAACATTCCAATACATGACCTGGAGCTTGACCCTGCATACCGTCTAGGCCTTGAACGCAAGGACAGGGTACATTCAGCGGCGGGGATGCGCCACGCGGTATATGCGGGGAGTATTAGCTTAAGATGGCTGGCGGTATTGGTTTTCGTAACCAAGTAGCATGCCCCTCAATTATGCTGAGTTGCATTTTCGCTGACGAACCTCCAATCAGCAGGACATGGGAAGAGGTCAGTTCAGTCACAGCTTCAGACCTCATAGTAGGTCATCAAGCTCTGTGTCCATATCACTCGTCCAAGCCTTCCGAGCCAACTTGCGCTTCTTCTGTCGCTTGGCCACCGGTTTTATCTCGTCACCCGAGCTGGCCATCATACTAGTCTGTGTATTCGCCCGTTTGCGACCGACGCGCCGGCCCGATTGCGAAGGCAGCCGATCCTCGTCGGTAGAAATTTCCTCGCCTTCGACGAGCACCAGGTCGCCCGTCTCACCCAGCGATTCTTTGGCCATCTCCTCCAACAGGATCCCCATCGCGATTAAAGCGGTCTCGTCCATACTATGATGGTCGTCCTGGCCGCGGTCGATGGTCGCGTGATCGTAGAAATCGGCCGAATAGGCATGTACGGCTTCTAGCAACTCCGACGAGGGAAGCTGACGGTCGGCTGGGAGGGATTCATGGGCGAAATAGAAGTCGTTTTCCTCGTAGCGAATGGGCGCATTCTGCCGACGGAAAAGCACCTCTTCAGGGCGCACCGAACGCCTGCTCGACGAGGCTGTGTCGCGGTTCTTGGAGGCATACGGCACGGCGGGCAGAAACCCATGCGCGTTAATCCGGCCTTGACATTCGATTGTCAGACTCAACTCGCGGTGATCAAGGGTGCATGATAGAACACGCCCAACTCACCTGCTACGGCATCGTAGACCGTTGCCAATCGTCGCTGTTTGGTCACCTCCGCCTCATCTTGTCGGTCATCCTCCGGCTCGTCCCCAAGGTCGGGCGGCTTGACAAAGGAATTCTGACTGAGCGCCAGAGATCTACCGTGCGACATAGCCATAGCCGTCGGTGCGGGACAAGATCGACCTGTGCGAAAGCATCAGGGAAGTTGCCGCGCCACTGGATAATGGAGGCCGTGCCTCACTGCAGAGATTCAGAGACCGTCTGGATTGATTGTGTTTAATTTTGGTTTGCGACAGAGCGGGCGGAGTCGGACTCGGGCCCGCGCAGGCGGGGAGGAACAGCTTGCCGGTTCAACATTCTTCCGTCCCCGCAGCCGAGGTGAGGCATTCCTCCATCACCGCAAGCTGAGATGAACCTCCCCTCACAGTGACAAGTAAATATAGTCTGAATGTGAGACATCCTGATGAATGAATGAATTCGTACATCCTGAACAGGACTTTGGGGTCCATTCATCCATCCACATTCCATGCTGCGCAGACAACTCGCCTAGTCCTGAACCTTGAGCCGGCGCCCGGTATACGCTTCTCCAGCCAGCACACCACTCAATCGGCGCATGGTCGACCCCAAGAGATTCCGGATGGATCTTCTGGTTTAGAAGAAGAAACGTCCGCTCACAGAGCTGGAGTCAAAGTACTTGCCATTGATCAGAATGAAGGCAGATTGTACGCCCCCTCTCGTCCCCCCAACTCCAAGCATTCATACTGAACGCTACGTCAGCATGGTCTCCGGCGGCGCCGACCCGTCCATTCACTTATGGGATCTGGAGTCCCGCGGATCCGAGCTGAATCATGTCCATCACTCGGTGGCATCGGTCAACAAGGCATCGCACGAGGATGCGCACACGCATGCGATCACATCCATCTCGATCTACCCCTTCGATCCGACCCCGTCGACGATCCTGACCACCTCGCACGACGGCACGCTCAAGCTCTCCGCCCTATCGCCGGCGGCCATCATCCCCGTGCACACGTTCCGCCTCGACTGCACGCCGTACACGCACGCCATGTCCTCGCACCCGGGCGCGCCGCTCCTCATCGCCGTCGGCACCTCCGAGAAAGCCGTCCGCCTGCTGGACCTGCGCTCGGGGCTGTCGACACACGGCCTGCCCGGCCACGGATCCGCGGTGCTCTCCGTCGCATGGGCGCCGCACCAGCCGCATATCTTGGCGACCGCCTCCACGGACAACCGGGTGATCCTCTTCGACATCCGCCGCGGCGGGCACAACTCCGCCATCGCCGCGCTGCACATGGACGACGCGGTGGGCCTCGTGCGTCCCGCCACCGCGCCGCCCGCCTACCAACCGCGGCCGGCCTTCTCGCCGCACGTCCGCGCGCACAACGGGGCCGTCACGGGCGTGCGGTGGACGTCCACCGGCTCGCACCTCGTGACCGCGGGCCAGGACGCCCGGATCCGCGTCTGGGACGCGAGCACCGGCGCGAACACGCTGGTGCACTTCGGGCCCCGCGTGCGCAACAGCGTCTCCTCCCACCTGGCGGAGCGGGCGCCGCTCGTCGTCCCGCGGGGTCTCATGGCGGCGGGCCAGGAGACGCTCCTGTGGCCGAATTTCAACGAGCACGACGACCGCGGCGAGATCTACATGTTCGAGCTCCACGAAGGAGCGTACATCAAACGGCTCCGGGTGCCCGGACTGGCGACCACCGGACAACAATTCCGTGGCCGTTCGACCGCATTGAGCGCCGCCCGAATCAACTCGCTAGCCTGGCGCGGCAACGGGGCCTCCGGCGAGGGGATCGAGATGTTTTCCGCTCACGGCGACGGCACCATCCGCAGCTGGGTGTCACGGGAACCCGAAGGGGAGCCGGACGAAGCGGAGGAGGCCGAGCGAGCCGACCGCAAACGCAAACGCGATGTGCTGGACGAGATCTACCGTGGCTTTATAGGTTAATCATGCTGGTCTATATCCATATACACTCAACTCGCATACGCATATACACTCATATACATATGTCTTTTTATGTCCAACTACAATGCGGACGAGTATTGACAATGATATTGATCATATCATGCGATTCATCATTATACAGCAAACATGACCCATTCACAACCCAGGTCAATCTCAACAAAAAAAGGCTCCATAATACAATAATTCCATCATTCCATCCATCACAAATATCGTTACCCATCAAAAAGCCGCATACCAGCCGCGACTTTAAAAGAAATCGTCATCAAACAGCATGACACCATTTACTCATTCCGAATCTGATGCTCCCCAGCAGCGTCATCCTCCTCGGCCGCGAACCGCTCGAAGCCACTGCGGTTCAGGTTTCGGTGCTTCAGGTCGCGGCCGTGGCCCTTGGCGCCGGGGTGCTGATTGCCGATGAAGGTGCGCTTGGACTCGCCCTCGGCGGGGAAGGAGTTGCCGGTGCCGGTCAGGACCTCGCCGGTGGCGCCCATGTCGCGGGCGCTGCGCGGCATGTCGGTGGCGTTATCCGCCGCGAAGGCGGCGGAGGGCTGGGCGACGCCGTAGTTGTCGAAGCCGCCGTGCTCGGCCCGCTGGTCCGGGCGCGGCACCGAGGGGATGGTGTTCTGGAGGCCCGCGTCGTTGGGGATGGTGGTGCCCGAGGGGGCCATGTCCTCGAGTCTGCCGCCGCGGTGAGGGGAAGACATTCTGGTTGTTGTTTTGTGGCGGTTGTCTGGATAAGGGAAAGAAGTTGTTGGGTTGAGTATGGAAAAAATTTCCGTTGGAATAGTTGTAAGAGTGACACTCAATGGCTTTGAATCTGCTTCGAGCAATCCCACCGTTCAATTTCGCCAGGGTTTATATACAGTTGATGCAGCAATGGTGGTGGATTCAATCTGATGTCACTTTTCGCCCTCGAGCATGGGTCAATGATGAAGCTATGATATCAGTTCGATCCCCATGCTATCACCCTAGTATTCGTTCGTGTTCGTCCTGCATTCAATTCGTGTCCCAATCCCAATAAAAGTGGAGGCTATGATGAAACACTTTCGCTCTGAACCTGAATTGTCGAGTCCATGATTTGGGATGCATGTTACAGTCATGGAATGTAGAGATTCTAGAATTAACTCTTAGTTGTTGTTAAATTAGGGCGTAGTTGCCGCCTTCCCGGTCTACCAATCGACTCGACGGGTGGCACGTGCTGCTACATTATAACTATTGGACTACTAGGTACAATCACCGAACAGCCCTTCTGAATCCTGAGAAGCAATCGCTCTGACAACTTGGATCATAAAGCATGGCATGGTCTTAGCACTTTTCAAAATTGCCCAGTATTGCCGTGGTTTGTATCGCTGATGTCATGGTTAGAAATGACTAAGCCAGCCGACCCTTTCTCGGTCGAGATGCGATGCGTTCATTTTGCCACGGATGAAAAGCTGCTAGCTCCAATGAGAAGAGGCTGTAGGCTGGAGCACTCTGTGCCTGGCAATGCATTGGGACATGCCATGTATTCAAATCTGAAGTTGGTGCTTTCCGGAGCTCACTAGCTGTAGCTAATGGTGTAGAGGTACACATTCTAGACGTATACAAGACCAAATGCTATAACGGGCCGGAATCTCATACTTCGATTATACAACTAAAGCAATCCAAAGTCCACATAATAATGGGAAGGCAACGATCAGGGATATGTGATCAAAGGGGAAATGTGAGAGGGAGCGAGCATGCAGTCAATAAATCATACAAAACGTAAGCACATCAAATTGAAGATTTGGGTTTTTGAGTTTACGGCCAAAAAATACGGTCCCTGGTGTAAACAATCATCACAAGCAAAACCAAACACGTAAAAGCAACTCCAGTAACTCCTGGCCCGGGGTATGGGGGTATGACTGTCTGCGTCCTCGCAGTTATCGCCGCTCGTTCAATGCTGCCGCCAAGAAATGAAAATCGCTCATGGTTGTCCGGCCCAGCGGTCAACATGATAGTGGTATATGTAAAGGTCAAATGACTGTATGAAACAAAAATCCGATGGATAGATCAAGGCAAACAATGTAATGTCTAGGGGGTATCTGGACTTCTCCCTGAAATGTGCAGATAGGTGATGAGGCGTAGAATGCCGAGAGCCAGCTCGTGCATCCGGTTTTTCTCGCGCGAATAGGTCTTCGCTCTTCTCTCAGGTTCGTGGGCCAAGTTTATCGGATACTTCGGGTCGGTTGCGTTCTCAAGCCCGCTTGAGTAAAGGTCCCTTCAAGGGTATAAAGTAGAATGTAACGAGATGCGATCCCGTCGCAGAATAATAGTAATTTCAGAGAAGCAGATAATCCCAGCCGTTTTGCTGCATCACTTCCCGCCAGTGAATGAACGGTTTCTTCACTTCCTCTGCATCCCAGTGTGCAGGACTTTCCTTCGGAGACTCGGACTTCTCGCGCTTGACGGGGCTGCTGCCATTTGCTGAAGACGAGGGGCTAGCATCCTGGCTCGGTAGGGGCTCGATAGGCTCGTCTGACACCCGCCACACTTCTTTTAGAACTCGGTACATGCGGCCAAAACTGCCCAAATCTGCGTGGTCACCAAGAGCAGCGGCGCGGTCGGCGAGAACGTTGCGGAAAGAGCTGTTCGGCGCGGAAAATGCCCCTGCGATAAGCAGAGGCCAGACCACCGAACGATCGAACCCTTCTGGTCCAGATGGAATGTACTGAATAGCATTGGCAACCGCTGCAACCAGATTAGCGTTACTTGGCTGGTGACGGTCGAATCCAGGAACTAGACTGCAGAGGTAGATCCTGGCTGCAAGTCGGAAAATCGCCGTGATGTTGTTGGTCAGGACCGTTGGGGAGAAAGCTCCATTAGGCAGGTACGGGCTCTCCAAAGACTGGTTCGGCGATTCCGTGAATTCCAATTGTTGTCCCAGGGCGGAAACGTGAGAGCAGACCGCCAGATCATCAATCCTTCCCTCCCTTTTCAATGCCTCCAAGCAAGTAATTTCCGAAATCAAGTACATGACGCGGTCATCGCAGCCCATGAGTTCACGTAAACCCAAAGATGATCCACTGAGGTGCTTGGAGCGATACGTATGTGCGAATTCGGGTGTCTTTCCGTGCATGGTAGAGCCTAGGATGTCGATCCAAGAAGCCAATGTCATGGTGAACGGAGGCGGCATGTATGGGTTCCCGCAGGGAGGTACAGGCGACGATAGGCCTAGTCGGTTCACCAAGTTGGATGCGGCTTGAAAGTGATCGAACCATGGGATATCCGGGAGATAATCGTCCGCGGGACCCACAGAACAATGGAAGAAGATCATGGCAAGAGTTGCATCGAGAATCTCTTCGTGGTTAGTGTCCTCTCCGAGAGCCAAGCAGAGCTGTGAAACTGCCTCGAAACGGTTGCGCATGATATCGTGGTCGATCTGCTCTCCAACAATACCTTCTGTCGTCTTCCGGTGGATAGCGGCCACACTCAAGCAGCAGTGAAGATAGCACTTGTTCGTTTCCAAAGCCTGAAGAATGGCTTGAGCTCGGACATGTCCGCGTTGGTGAGCTTCCAGCACGGGAAAGATAATGCGGAGAACATTGTAGATGAAGTGATCGAGAAGCGGGCGGTCATGATCACTGACGGGTATGCTTGACTGTAGAATCGCGTATGTCTGTCCGATAGTTTGCTCGCAGAGTGCTGGATCAAGTCCCGGGAGCGTAGGAATCTGCGCGAAATATTCATCCTGGAACCAATCCTCTCCGGGGAAGGTGGGTAAGGGAGCGTTCAGCTGGGGAGGAGCAAATGTGCTGAATGTTGAGCTGCAAGAATCGTGGCGTAGTGGAACGTCGTTGATGAATGTCTGCCGCTCCGTCTTGACATCGATCTCGTAAGGGTGTGGCAGTCCATAGATATTCTGAGTGAAGGCCGGAGTAGGCAGATGGGTTGCGAAGATATCATACTGCTCTGGATAAGCAGGTCGACTAAGCTCGTACTCTGGAGATGTGGGTGACGGCACGGCCATACTGCGGTTGCGGGCCGAGGGATCTATGGCACACAAAGGCTGGTCAGATGGCTATGCCTCAATGAGTTCCACAGAAACACTACCCACCAGTCAAAGCCCCATTGCGCTCGTTCATCTTTGTTTGCTTGATCTTGTTCTTGATGCGCTCCTTTTGAATCCTCCTTTGCTCGGCATTGCCCCACCAAACAGGACGTTTGTATTCACATTTGACACAGAGGTTGATGCAGGCGCTACATGATGGGTGCTTCTCGTCACACTTCTTTCTGCGTAGGCGGCATGTGAAGCAACCTGGATGAGAAGCACTGTTGTTAGCCAGACCTTCGCGATACCGTCAAGGTATATGTCAGTTACAACGTACCGGATCGTGAACGCTTATGCAGCTTCATTGGAAGCTTGTCCGTCGCTCTTGTCGATGTACCCTCACTACTAGAAGAAGACTGAGAAAGGTCTTCAGCTTTGATTGGAATCATTGTGGTAGGTGATGACTTCTTCTTTGATGGAACGGGCATGGTTGATATTGTATCGTGGCGCAGGGAAAGGGACTCGACTCGAAAAGGACAGGACACAGGAGCGTGGCGAATGAATGCTGGGATATGCGGGCTATTAAGGGCAAGACTGAACCAGCAGCCTTTGGTGTCTAACTGGGGTATTAGAGAACGAAAGGCGCAGGCTGCAAAGGACGAGGCGGCTAAAGATAACGCTGGGAGACAGTGGTCCACAATCGAAGTTGATATGATCGGTGGGCATGAAGGAAGCTTTAAAGATGAAAGTAGTAGGTCGATCTGGGATGAAGCAGGCCATGATGTTTCTATTTTAGAATCGATTCCGGACAACCGACAGGGCCGTGAGCACACACAGACACACACATGCACACATGCACATATCGGGGAAATTGCGGTGGTGGGAGTCGAAGCCATAGATTGGGTGGGGAAGGAGGGAAAGGATGATCGTAGCCAGACCATGCACGGACAAGGAACCGGCCACCAGGCGCTCCAAGGCTAATTTTGGATCATTTTGCAAGATACTACACTTCTGGCCATTGACTTGGCGCCCATGGCCGCCCTCTGCACAATTGATTGGATCACGCACGATGTCAATCTTGCCATGGAGGCAATCTGTTGAACGCTGCTTGTGCCAGGTTAATTTTATCCTGATGTCGGGTTCCTGTCCTACAAGCAGACGTTCTCGTCCCGCGTAGCCTCTCAAACCGGAGACACGAGTGTAACATGATCAGAGAATCTTCTCGAGGGAACCTCCTTCACTCCAGAGCGCTATAGCAACCGGTGCTATGGAAGGGACTTTCTCGCCCGTTTCGACTCGAGAAAGAAGCGTGGCGACCACCAAGCGGCACGCCGCACGATTCCGATTGCCCTCCATCAATACCCATACGACGCACTCGCGATGCGCCAATGGCAGGGTCATCTGCAGGCTGGATTAAGTGACTTGACGATGCCAACCTGAAAGGGGTGATATTTACCCGAATGGGAAAATGCATTGGTGAGAATCAAAGGATACCTACGTCTGTAGCCGTTGATAGCGCGGGGACATCCCAATGCCAACCGACTAATTGCCCCCTCTTCTCTTCTCGCGAGAAAATTCCCACTGGAGACAGACCCTGCCATGCGCACAAGGGTCTCAAGCACCTTGGACCAATCAGACTACAGATTGGCAGTCATGCCTGGTCGTCTCTGATAGTACTCAGTACTCAGTACTCCGTACCTAGACTACCTATAATATGGCAGGTTTGCGGGGAGAGGAGAGATTTGATCAATAATTCATCAAGAGGCTGCCATCGAGTTGAGCACCTACAGTAGTGGAAGCGCTACCTTCGGAGCTAATTTAGCGTGCTGAGCCAAGCTTCCTGAGTTTGGAAACAATTGGCCGACATCTTCCTGGGTCTTGACAGAGCGGGACAGCCGCAACCAACCGTGCGTGGGTGGGTCGGCCCTTTGATGCCCCGTGCAACCAGACGAAGACCAAAGTCGGCGCCAAGGGTGTGATAAGATAGCGCTAGCCTCTCAATCCCGACTAAGTCCCTGACAGGAGGGGAGCAGAGAGCGCTGAGGGGGTGACGACTGACGAGCTGACAGAAGTGAACTGATATGATTGCTTTCCCCCCCCCTCCTCCCCCGCCCTCCTCCTCCTCCTTAATTAGTATCAATTAGCCGCCTGCACCGACTTCAATTCCCTAGATTATCTTCTGGTCTTCCATAATTAGTATACTTCGCAGGGCTTTCAACCAATCTCATAGGCCTATACAGATGGTGTTATCCGCATTGACCGCTAAAACCCGTGCGTTCTCATGATCTGATCCTGAGGAAGATCGAGCCGTGCGAATTCCCAGGTGGGGAGGAAGATGACTGGGGGGAGCTAAAGGCATTTTTGACTTTAGCTTTTCTGCAACCAAGGTGTCCCAGTCACACCTCCTCTTTGGCACTCAATCACTTATCTGAATGGCTGTACTGTACCGGTCCCGAACCACCTTCTGGCGGATCGTTGCCCGTGATTCATGTACTTACTATACAGGACATCAACTGAATATTTTCAACTGCACTGTCTCAGCTGGGTGTTGATTATTGTTGATTAAGACATATGTCTTGGGATCAATACTATTGATTATGCGGCCAAAACAACGTTGGTTCTGGGCCTGGCAGCGTCGGTGGGCATCACAATCCCGGAAGCGAGTCATCATGTTGTGGGTGTCACGACGCTTCTGCCGTTTCTTGTCACATTCCTGCAGCTACAGCCTGCATCCCTCGCGAATTGAATAATTAGCGTCCTTTCGCTTCCCTGTCAATTGATATTCCAGCCAATCAGATGCGCCCAACATGAGGTCACTTCCTGCCACTCTGTTGTGTGCCCGTGACATGTACACATTCCTTCTGCAGTCGATATCCCGCGGCCCTGTCGCAACTCTCCATCCTTGAATATACTGTAAGTGCTATCTATCCGCGAGAAATCACTGCGTAGTTTGTATCTTTAGCCCAAATCTGGAAGACAAATCATTGCATCATCTCTCCTGACAAAATCAGCAGTAGCCCTAGAGATGATGCCAGAAATTATGAACTCGGCCGAGTCAACCTGAAATTCCGTATCATTCTAATTCTGTGCATAGCTACTCCGGACAAAGGTAATTGATGGGTTGACAAATACGCGAAAATGTAGTCGACGAATGATTTCTCCCAAGCTTATCCCCGGCATATTTCAAGGGCATTGGTCGGCAGATATTCCTAGTATCTCCGAGCGAGGAAAACTGCGCCGTGATACGTCACTCGTCTATACACCTTACATGTCTGTCCATCAGGCGGGGTAGGGCAGATTTTAGCATAACATCTGCTAACCAGCATTTACCAAAATCTTCATCACTCGGTGCACTCGTGCGGATTTCCGATCAAACCTCAGGAACCCACTGCATTGATCAAAATAGAAACTTGCCCGCCCCCAAGCGTTAAGAGCGGTGTCTAGTATAAGTGCCAATTACTTGCAGTGCTTCTAACCGCCGTGTTGTATAAATCCCTCTTTCCGGGCGTCTAATAGGTAAATTTTGCCATGCTTTGGTCGAAGACAGAAGATAATAGACTACCTCCGTCTCATGAAGAGATCTATTTTAGGGCGAAAGCCTGGCAATTACTTGCTCGGTTTGATGCTACTCTATCAGTTTAGGATCTTAGTTGCATAATCAACCCATTCTATTTTCCGGTTACTGCATCAGCCTTGTCCTTTTTTCCCCAGTGTATTGGCGCTCTGCGTGTAGCCGCCGAACACATTCTAGAGATTGATCACTCACAGGTGCAAGGCCACGAGAACCATGCTTTCATTTCGCTAGCACTCGCAGGTCGGCGCGTACACGAAACCTGCCATTGGACTTTTCTAAATGGCATAATTAGGGATTCCAGTCTGTGGGGACTGAGGGGCCTGTCTGACTCTTGGGATCTCATTCAATGTCGCTGAGAATAGCCTGGTGTTTCTTTCTTGATCTTCGGTGCTAATCTGGAATTTCTAAAAAATAGTGCCTGGTTTCATTGTCGTCCGGAATAGAGACATGGACTGGCTATGGTCTTCTTTCGGCGTCGGCCTTGATGCCGCTAAGATGCATGTGGCAGATGTACGATATCCGGTCCGTTATTCCACTCTGCCTTGTGGAAAAGGAACCGCTTGTTCTGTACTCCGTTACCTGTTGTAAATTGCCCGCATTCAAATATAGAAATGTCTGGATTCAGATATAGAAAGTATGCGAAAAAGTGGAACGGTATCCAACTGGCGGCACTACGCAGGATGTAGCGTACGGAAAACTCAAGTTCGTAACTTATTTACTGTAGACCTAATTTAAAATGTACTTGCTCGAAGCTTGGATGTAGTATAGTTTATCCATGCTTCCCTAGATAAAGTCTCTAGTTCGTCGAATGTGAAACTACTCGCGCAGCTCCCTGCTTCAGTGAGAGACTGCGAAATTATACTTATATATATATTGATTGGTCCCACAACGACATGCTTTTCGGTGCTCGATCAAACCTACGCCCCCATCTTGTATGCGCTTGAACATAAAAGTCTCATTCAAGGCTAGCATAGACGGATTGAAGCTGTTGCCCGACGTAAACTCTTGAAGTTGTGGCTTATTGAGGCTGCGGGACACTTTCAATAGGGAACTGTACTGTATACCCCGGCCGCACTCTCGGCCGGGCTTCTCCGCCAACTGTCGGGATCCATGATCCAATCCGCTCAAGCTCCAACCTACCTCCGCATTCCACTGCACCTTAACAATCGTCTTACTATTCATCCAGGTCGATCTTCTCTCTACTGTCAGCGTGCGACTAAGCTACGTGATATCTAAATCTGACCGTCATGCTACATCAAACCATAGAGCGAATGCTCTCTCGCGTAGTTCCCCAGACAAACCAGAGTTCTTACATCGCATTGCAAAGTCGTATTACCTCGACCAGGACATTCGCAAGCCATACCTCACGCTTCCGAACTGTCTCTCGATACCTCCATCAGCCACAGATCCGTACGTTCTCAAGCTCCGGCCGTAGATGCAGCAATGGGAACTACAACCGATTCAACAACTCAGGCCGGGGCCCACGGGCGCCGCCGTTGATTTATCACTTGTTGTCGCGGGCGCGTACCGGGCATTTCGTGATAATAGGCCTTGGGGCATCAGCATTCTACTACTATAATACCGAGGTAGTGGAGGTGAGTCAGTTCTACCTTCTCGGCCTCGAACCATGCACTGACGGCGGCTTCTCAGATGACTGGCCGGCGGCGGCTCAACTTCATATCCGTGCAACATGAGCTGGAGCTCGGAGACCAAGCCTATCGAGAGATCCTCGCAGAGCATCGAGATCGCATACTGCCAGACTCTCACCCAGATGCTAAGGTAGTGCACCGTGTACTCCAGCGACTCATTCCTCAGGCGCGCGTAGAAGGCGCCCAGTGGAGAGCACACGTCATCAAAGCGGACGATGTCAGAAATGCTTTTGTTCTTCCCGGGTAGGAACTTTTCCTTCTCGCGTCATCCAGTGATGGCATGCGATTCTTCTAACAGGTTTGCTGCAGGGGGAAAGTCTTTGTCTTTACCGGCATCTTGCCTTTCTGCAAGGATGAGGATGGTCTGGCTGCGGTCCTCGGCCATGAGATCGCGCATGTGGTGGCTCACCATAGTGCGGAGGGTATGACTCGGAATTATCTTCTGAGGTCTGTTGTTACGGTTGTCTCGCTGCTCTTCGATATCTCAGCCATGATCCCTGCGTATTTGTCGCATTATTTGATTAACTTGCCCAATTCTCGGGTACAGGAGGTGAGTTTCCGCTTTGGACCGTAGATGAAAGAACACGAAGACGAGACTGATCACCATATTTTGTAGGCTGAAGCGGACGACATGGGATTGAGTATGGAAACTGAGCCCTCTCACCTTCTCTCAACCTAGTGGCCGACTAACCTTCCTTGCTAGTCATGATGGCTCGAGCCTGTTACAACCCGGAGGCTGCTATCGCATTGTAAATTGCTCCAGATGCATTCTACACCGTTTGCTTCTTTGCTGGTACACATGATTGCTGACTTTGTCTCAGCTGGCAGCGCCTGGTAAATAACAAAGAAGAACATGAGATTCATCAATTCTTGTCGACACACCCTTCGGTAAGTCTCTTGGTCAGCGTTTGGGACACATCTTCTACTGAGGCATATCCTGATTCATTGGCCATAGAATGAGAGTCGTATCCATGCTCTCAATGAAAAGTACGTACACTCCTCGACCCGGATATGAGAATCCACCGCCCCTGACACGAATCTAGACTCAACACAGCACAAGCTATCTACCTGGATGGTGGCTGCAAGATGGCAAATGAGTACAGTACGTGGCTTTGCTTCCCCGCCGAGTTCTGTATACTTTGACTGACAATCCATTAAGTGCCTGACTTTAGGAGAGCTTTCGCTTTGCACAGGGAGTTTTGAAGCACATGGTTCCAAGTATCTTTCACTGATTGTACATAAATTAGTCTATGTAAATCCCCAATTCTGTATTACCACAACCCATATACTTCGTTTTAGCCCGCACTAGAAGTGAACCTGTACGCCAACTATTTCAATCATCTCTGAATGTTCTTTTCTTTTTGAACACAATGTCTCTCGCACATAGAAATAATCCTACTATTCATTATGTTTACCTTCACATAGACAATTTCACCACACCACCAGTGGTTGCTGACTGCCCCTCGGCAAAGCTACACAAACTCGAGCAAGATCACCTTCGGGCCCGAAGCTTCGGGAGGCTTGAATCGTATCTCGGGCCCGAATATATTCATAGTATCTATAGGATCTATCCCCCCCGCCCGAGCAGTTAGTATATATACTGAAAGCCCAGCATTGGCGATTATCCGGATACCATCCAAGCATCTAAACAACAACTCTATCTGCCTTGAGTCGCCTCTGCTTCATTAACAACCACAAATCACACAATGTCGTCGAAACCCATCCTCATCGTCGGCGCGGGCCTCGGTGGCCTGGCCCTCGCGCAGGGCCTCAAGAAGAATAACATCCCCGTCAAGATCTACGAGCGAGACGCCAAGCAAGATTTCCGCGCGCAGGGCTACCGTCTGCGCATCGGGACCGAGGGCATTCGGGCCCTCCAGGCCACCCTGACCCCGGAATTGTTCCGCCTGTTCGAGGCGACCTGCGCGGAGAACGGGCTGCTATCCGGCGGCGCCAGACTTGATGCCTTGTCCGGTAAGCCGTTGACCCAGCAGGCAGGTGGTGGTGGTGGTGGTGCTGGAGGCCCTCCCATCCAAGCCCAAGGCTCACTAAGGCCGTACACCGTCGACCGCGGGATACTGCGCGAGGTGCTCATGACCGATCTTGAGGCGGAACTACACTTTGGGAAGCGTTTTACACACTACGAAGTCAGACAAGGGAAGGGTGAGGAGGATACGGGTCACGAGAACACTGGAGTGGTCGCGTTTTTCGACGACGGGACCGCGGAGGAAGGCGCCTTGCTCGTCGGCGCGGACGGACTGCGATCGCAAGTGCGCAAGCAGCTCCTGTCGCCGGCCTATCCGTTCTTGGATACGGGGATGCGGATCGTGTACGGGAAGACGTACATCACGCCGGAGTTTGGACAGCGCTTTGCTCGAGAGGCAATGGGGGGGATGTCCCTGGTCACCGAGAGGGAGACGGGAGCGCCGAAGACGCTGCTGCTGGAAGCCACTCGGTTCCCGCAGGCGAATACCCCAGTGCGCGGGATCCAGTTGCCGAGGGATTATGTGTACTGGGTCTTACTGGCGCATAAAGATTATATCCCGTTAGAAGATGAGGAGGTGTTGAAGTTGGATGGGGACGGGTCGGCGAGGTTGTCGTTAGAGCTCACGGCAGATTGGGATGCGTCTGTGAGGGTCTTGTTCGAGGAACAGGATCGGAACCAAACGTCGACGTTGAGGATCTGTTCCGTGAAGCCGGATGTGCCGGCCTGGGAGGCACATGCGAGGGTGACGCTTCTGGGAGATGCGATTCATGCCATGCCTCCAACTGGCGGAATGGGCGTGAACACTGCATTGCGCGACGCGGAGGATCTGGTGCGGAGGATTGTCGAAGTGAATGGGTCAGGTGGTGTGGATGTGGATCTTGTCGCAGGGTATGAGGAGAGTTTAAGGGCATTTGCGCGGATATCGGTCAGACTCAGTTGGGAAGGAGGACGAAGAGGATTCGACTTGAGACCAGCTGAAACATGTGAGGAAATAGTTTTGTGAGATAGTTGTTTTCTATTAGGACGAGGACAAGGGCCGGCTGTGGGTTAGTTAGTGGCAGCTTAGCTATGCATATATTGATCTCTCCTCTCACACACAGCGCAGACTCCAGCGAGATTATCGGGCTCTTCATTGACAGGAGAGTATGAAGTAATTGCCCATGGCAAACCGTCGTTCCAAAATTGGAAGATCAATGCTCCGCCGTAGAAGGGGGAAGTTGTAAATGGATAAGCATGCCGAGCCCCTCCGCGTGCAAACCAAACAAACAGCCGCCGCCAGACCGTCTCTGAAGCTCCGTCGAAAATTCCCAGAACAGCTACAGGCCAGTGTTGAGGCAGTGTTCCCTTACTCCCTTCATTTGGATATTTCCCCAAACTTCAGAGGAAGTATCCCTTCATCATGTCATTGTCACTTCCCGGACCGTCCCAGGCGGGTCTTTTTAAGCCTGGGTATCAGAGGTAAGCGAAAGCCCACTCGTGGAATATCCCGCCCCTCAAGCCATCAATACCACCAGGTTGAGCAGACCAGTCAAACCTATATGATATGGAATGGGGTTATAATGTAGAACAGAGGCTAACACAGCGTTCTCTATAGCCACGATGCCGAAGATGGTGCCGTCATCCGCAACATCGAAGCCTGCCAGGCTATTGCTCAGACTGTCTTGACGTCGTTGGGCCCTTACGGTCGCAACAAGATTGTCATCAACCATTTGCAGAAGATGATCCTCACTTCGGATGCGGCTACTATTCTCCGTGAACTGGAGGTTGTGCACCCCGCTGCTAAGCTGCTGGTGATGGCCAGTCAGCAGCAGGATCAGGAGATGGGAGATGGTACTAACTTGGTCATTGTTCTCGCCGGAGAGTTGTTGAAGAAGGCCGAGGAGTTGCTGCGCATGGGCTTGAAGACGAGTGATATTGTTCAGGGCTACGAGAAGGCACAAAACTTTGCGCTCAAGACGCTAGAAGGTGGGTTGATTCTTCCGGCCATGAGCGCTCGGCGACCTCAGGGGCTGCTGTGAAATAACGGACCAGGCAAGCAACGAGTGGTTGAAACTTACTGACGCTTGCTTGACAATAGATCTCGAGGTCGATCGCCTTCAAGAACTCCGCTCTCAGACCGAGCTTACCAAGGCTCTCCGCACAGTCGTCGCCAGCAAGCAGTCCGGAACCGAAGATCTTCTGGCCTCTCTGGTTGCAGAGGCTGTCCTTGCTGTCCTCCCCAAGAACCCCGCCAACTTCAATGTCGACAACGTTCGTGTCGTCAAGATTATGGGAGGTGGCTTGGAGCAGTCTCGTGTGGTTAGGGGTATGGTTCTCGGCAGGGAGCCTGATGGTGTGATCAAGAAGGCTACCAAGGCCAAGGTTGGAGTCTTCAGCTGCCCCATCGACATCTCTCAGACCGAGACCAAGGGTACCGTGCTGTTGAAGAACGCGCAGGAAATGCTGGACTTCACCAAGGGCGAGGAGGAGCGCTTGGAGGCGGCTATCAAGGAGCTTTACGACTCTGGTCTGCGTGTGGTCGTCTGCGGTTCCACCGTTGGTGATCTGGCCATGCACTTCCTTAACCGCTTCAACATCCTTGTGATCAAGATCCTTTCGAAGTTCGAGCTGCGCCGACTGTGCCGTGTTGTCGGCGCCACCCCTCTCGCTCGCCTGGGCGCCCCCATGCCCGACGAGATGGGTAGCATCGATGTTGTCGAGACTACCGAGATCGGCGGTGACCGGGTGACCGTCTTCCGTCAAGAGGATGCCAACGCTGTCACTCGTACGTCCACCATTGTCCTGCGTGGAGCTACCCAAAACCATCTCGATGACGTTGAGCGTGCGATCGACGATGGTGTCAACGCAGTCAAAGCTATCACCAAGGATCCCCGCCTGGTCCCTGGTGCCGGTGCCACTGAGACCCAACTTGTGGAGAGAATCTCTGCCTTCGCGGATAAGACTCCTGGCTTGCCCCAGCATGCCATTCGCAAGTACGCTGAAGCGTTCGAGGTGGTTCCTCGCACTCTGGCCGAGTCGGCTGGTCTGGACGCTACTGAAGTTCTGTCTCGTCTCTACACCGCACACCACCGGTCCTCCAACAATGATGAGTCGGAGGAATCGTCTGCAGAGGAGGGCAGCTCTGAGAAGGAGGAGCCGTACTGGACCACGGGTGTGGATTTGGAGATCAGCTCTTCGGCTGGGACCCTTGACGCCGTGGAGGAAGGCATCCTGGACCTGCTAGCATCCAAGAGCTGGGCCATTCGTCTCGCGAGCGAGGCTGCCCGGACGGTGCTCAGCGTTGACCAAATTATTGTTGCTCGACAGGCCGGTGGTCCTAAGCCACCGGGCCCCAACCCCAACTGGGATGAGGATTAAATGTAATATTTAGGAGAATATGATATCCATTGGAGGCTCAAAAAGCACGGAATGTGATTGAGACACGATAACCATGAAAAGCCCATGACCCCTATCCATGGGCATCTGTATTATCTGCAGGCTATAGTAACAGTAGTGGTAATGGATCTTTTCAATTCGTACATCCGGGGTCTTTCATCCACTGCTGCGGATTTGTTCTAGAATATACCTAAGAGTTCCTGATATACATAGTAAGTAATTGATTCTCTGTTGACAGAACGCCGACTAGCGGGTGTCGGCATCACGTGACGCGACTGGATTTTCCGGGCCGACACTCGACTTTCTTTTCCCGCAAAGGCACTTTTCGAGCATCCGAGCACTTCGAGCAGCTTGAATCCCCCTTGGCCTAGCCACCTTCTGTCGCCCCGTCCAGATCGCCTCCCTCTCACGCCCAGCATGTCCATGTCTACCCAGTTCGCAGCTCGCTGCTGCAGACAGATTGTTCGCCCCACCGCTGCCCTGCGCGTTTCCTCCGCTTCATACCTGTCCAGCAGCCGGAGATGGCAATCCACGGAGTCTGCTGCTCCTGTCAACCCCAAGATCACCCAGATTGTCGATCAGATCAGCCAATTGAACCTGTTGGAGACTGCCGACTTGGTCGCTAGCTTGAAGGTGCGTTTGTTGCTGCTTTTCCGGCATGTCGCAGAGTCCGCCTAGGACTTTGTTTGATACAGGTTCCTATCAATCGAACTGCCGCCGGCCGCGATTGATTGCTCCTGTGATCGCGTGAAATCATGGATATAGTTGCTGACGGAAACTTCTCACATTATAGTCCCGCCTGAACATCCCCGACCTTCCCGTCGGTGGCTTCGCCATGGCCGCTGCCCCCGCCGCTCCCGCCGCCGCCGAGGAGGAGGAGGCTCCCGTCCAGCAGGAGAAGACTCTGTTCAACCTGAAGCTCGAGTCCATCGACGCCGCCTCCAAGGCCAAGGTCATCAAGGAGATCAAGAACATGCTCGGCCTGTCCCTGGTCGACAGCAAGAAGTTCGTCGAGTCGGCGCCCAAGGTCCTGAAGGAGTCCGTCCCCAAGGAGGAGGCCGAGAAGATCATCGAGACCCTCAAGGCCGTCGGTGCCAAGGTCACCATGGACTAAGCGGATGGTCATTTTTGACGGTCCGGGGGGACTTTCCTTTGTAATGCTACCCCGGTCCATCTGGGTCGCCCTGTGGCTTATCATTCTTGGGATGAATCGACGAAAACGAAAAGACCTGGATGGGCCTGGAACGTTGTGATTGGGCTGCATCATCGAGCTGGAGTTTTTATCTCGCACCACCCTTATTTTCATTTTTGTGTATTGTGTTCTGTTATATCACCCTTTTCTTTATTATCTTTTTTCTCCGTCCCTATATCTCTCTCGAGATTCTATTTTCTGATATAAACGGAAAGCGGGAAAAAGGCGGCGAATGTACATTATCATCTGTATCGAATGGATAACGTGGAAACAAGAGGAAAGAAACTGGTTGTTGTTGTCTCCGTCATCCGAGTTTGCCAGCAACTCATCAGGGCTCGTACGTTAGTATTTTGGATGAGACGAGTAGCTGTCAAATCGGTCTTAGTTGAAGCAGTACGACTGCGGAATTGCGCGACAGAGAAAAGACAATTGAGTGAGATGCTGATCAGTCCATTGTATTCTAGCGCCATTGTTCATGTTTTTGGCGCGGGTCGTCGAGAAGTGAACGGAGATGCGGAAAGCCCGAACTCCAGATTTCTTCCTCCCCGCCGCCTTTGCATCAAATCCACACCTTCCTTCACTTCTGGTACACCCTTCCTAATCGATTCGCTATGTCCCTTCCTGGGTCCTCACGCAGCATCAGACGGCAATGCCAAATACGTCTGCATTCGGGCACAAGCCCCTCCCTGAGCTTGCACTATAGCTCCAACCTGCGCCCCCGCCTTGTCCAAGATCACCTCCACCTTCAGCATAATCAGCTACTCGCACCTCGGCCTCCGCCCAGTTCCTGCTTCCATACCACTACATCCAACAATGACTTGTATCGGACTCCCCGAAAGTCCCCTGCGCTACGACGCGCCGCCAACATGAGAGATGCCCGCGTGTCTTCTCCTCCCCGCCCTGCAGACATCGGCCCCGAGTCCCACATCACCGGCGACCTCACAGCTCACAAAAAGTGGCTCGCAACAGGCGGCATGGACAATTGGGCGGATGCCGTCCTGAACAGAGACCTCAAGACAGAGATTACGTGGCCAGTTTTCGAGGCCACCGGTCTACACTTGCTGGAGTGTGCTCATGGCGGCCCTCCCACTCTTGCCGCAATTCAAAACAACCCGCGCAACTGTACGTGACACTTCTCTCTAATCCTCGCTATTTCAGGCGTGACAAGTGCCGTTGCTCCTAAGAAGATTACTAACAACTTTTCCCGAAACATTTAGTGACGCCCTTGGAAATGTTCAAGATCGGCAAGCTCATCCTCCCGCACCACAAACCCTTCCAGCACTGGGTCTCCTCGGCCACCGCGCTGGCCAAAGTCCGGCCCGCGATCTACATCCAAGCCGCCAACTACCTGAAGGAGCTGCGCGCGCAGCACAACAAGAGCCACCAGTCCCCACCGCGCGATGTGCCGATCCTGCAAGCCGTCGAAGCTCTGGCGACGGGGCCCGTTCCGGACCCGCGCGCCATGCATCTCCACGCGCGGGTCCTCTGCCACCGGCAACAGTACCGCGAGGCGATGGCCCTCCTGGACGAACTGCTCGAGCTCATCTATCCGGCCAAGAAACTCGAGCCGGGCTTCGAGACCGGGCTGTACTTCCCGCCCATCGACTCCTTCTGGGACACCTACATCTGGGTCCAGGGCATTATGCTGGACCACAGGCACAAAACCAAACACACGCCCGAGGAGATCTACCGCCGGGCGGCCGAGGAGTTCAAACAACCGGAGTACCTCGTGCGGTACGCGGCTCACCTGCGCGAGCAAGGTCGGTGGGACCAGTACGAGAAGTACATGCACATGGCGGTCATGGCGGGCCACCGCCGGGCCACCCGCCGGCTGGCGTGCTACTACTACCTCATCGCGCAGGGGCGGTATCCCCGGCGCGGGGAATCCGCCACCACCGAATTCCGCCCGATCGACCCCGCGCAGGAGGGCCAGGGCCTGCTGCAGGAGAAGAGCCGCTCGTGGTGGACGCGGCTCCGCGACGAAATCTGGGCCGAACACCGCCGGCCGTCGCTGACGCACTATCGCGCCATGGCCCGGGAGTTGTTCGAGCTGGCGGCGGCGTACGGGAGCCCGGAGTCCGTTGTCATCGCCGCCGTCATGGCCCGCGAGGAGGGCCGCCTGGCCGATGGCGAGCAGATGATTCGCAACATGCTTCGCGCCAACCAGTTTCAGAGTCCGGAGTGGACGCAGGTCAAGGTGGACGTGCAAAGCCTTCTGGAGAAATGGGGGGATCTGCAGTTCAAGTTCAAGATACCGGAAGAGTACTTCGTCCTCTAGGCGAGAAAAGAAAAAGGAAAGTCAACAAAATGAAACTTGGGCTGCCCTTCTGCGGGGTGGTTCGTGACTCGGTATCGGACTCTCTGAAGTGCGGTGTGGGCGGCTTTACTGAAAGCTCGATTTCTTCTCTGTGCACTCTTTAATGACTGTGATACCCAAGCATAGACTAAGAACGTCGTTCCAATACAAAAGAGATCGCGGAGCAGCGGGGAGGGAATCCGTCCGAGTAGGCCTGGTGTAATCTTGGAAGGCGCAGTAGATAATGCGATTGCGACTGATGCGCCTAGGCTGGAATATTTATGGGTACCAGAATCGGAAAGTATGACAAACCCCCGAAGAAATTGAAGAGAGACTTGACTACCAGCCGTAACGCCACCCCTGTGCTCGTCGTAGCGCGACGGCATGCCTATGATCGCTCTCTGCGTACTGTCACTCCTTCCACCAGAATCATTCATCATATCATAGAAAAAAAGGAACATCGAAAGACAGATAAGCACGGAACATGATCTGGGGGTGGGGAGAATTGAAAGTTCTGCTTTTCAAGTACAACGCGGTCAACCCTTGTCATAATTGCCCCCAGCTGCCGACAGAGGCCTTGAAGCGTTCTACGTATCACCTCCTTCGGCCCTTCCCTTTCCCTTTCCCCCGCGTCTTCAATTCCACAAACCCAAGCTCCTTCAATCCTTCCGTTAGAAGGGACGAATCTCTCATTCCAGGAAAGTCCTTGGCCGGGAATACGCGGAAGGGATTCGTCCAAGCCTCGGCAAGGATCGGCATTGACTTGCCAGTGTCTTCCACGTGACCCCAGTTCATCAGACGAAATTGGAGGCGGTACAGTCCAGCTGTACGGACCGAAAGGTCGGAGAAGATGTAGAACGTAGCAGGTTGTCCCTGTCCCGAGGTGTGTGGGGTGTCGTGGTAAGGGTTCGGTAGCACGTATTCGCTCGCTTCGGGTGCGTAGTAACCCGAGGATGGATGGGCTGGCGCGGTGCTGGGGTCCGGGTCTTCATCGACATAAAAGGGTGACACGAAAGCTTTTCCTGATAGCAAAGGAGTCGACTGTCCCTGGCTCAATTCATCCGCTCTACCCGTACCGTCGGCGTTCATGTCTGATTGGGAGAATCCGGGCTCGGGAATGAGGAAACAGCCCACAGTGAATCGCGGATCTTGAAGGATATTATTGTCGTCAGAGGATCTTGGATCGAAGTCTGTCAGAAGCATTTGGATGATGGGAGGTGGGTCAATAGGCCGTCGATCTCTGTCACCCGCGCCACAAGCTCGCGCAGCCAAAGGCTGCTGTCTGATGTAAAGGTGATATCGTGAGGTTGATGACGGTCGCCGCGGGGGAGGGGACGGCGTAGGCGAATGATGAAGCAGTCTTTCAAATCCAGAAGGCATACTCGTCGTACTCTGCCTTTGGGGCTGTTGTATCTGACGCTTCTCCGCAGCCATGCTGGCGGAAGACCCCCCCCTACAATCATAACAGTGACCAGGACTTGGGCCAGCCGTGGAGAGTTCGCTGTTTCTGCCAGCAGGAATTAGTGACTTGACCGGAAAAAAGCACCTGGCACTTCTCATCGCAGCTATGAAGGAAAGACATGCGAGGAAAGTACAGTGAGGGTAACCTGCATACGCTTGCTCAAAATGAGAATGTGAACAGGAAATATGTGTGCATGAGCCAGTCAAGAGATAACAGAACCATGATCACGCATCTGAGCTCAAACGAGCCAAGGCCAACAAAAGAAGGGAATGGAAAACTAAGAGCTAAGAAAATGAGGCATACTCCACGTTTTTCAACACATTGGACCGTTGATCCCCAAAGTGAGCTGGACTACCAGTATTATATGGAGGGATCGAAGAGACATCATGCTTCTGATGAGCGACACTATCCCAGAGCCTCTCCTGATAGGGCAATCTAGAGTTGAAGGCGGTAGATGCGACAGTGGAATCATAAGCCTGACTGGCTGGGCTAGGAAATAAGAAGCGCGGAAGCTCGTCCGTGGGATGAGAATGACTCGGAGATCCTGCTAGCGCCTGATGGTTGTCGCCAGCGGCTTGGGCCCGCCCATCAGAATATTGCCCGCTGGATGTGGCATGGCTCCTTGGATGCAGCGGCGTCCTCGACATCTAGACAATTGGCGCTCGGAAGTTATCGTTCCGTTGATTCTTGTATCTGGTTATCTCCTTGGGGATTCTCTTCTGTGACTTTTCTGTCGGTGGGTCTTGTTTTCTATCGGCAAGTGCTAAGAGCTGATCCCACTGGTCGTTTTCTGCAGAGTGAACATCCATATATAGGATCTGAATTGACGGGTCGAATCGAAAGCTCAATAAGATTAAGGCGCACTTGGTGATGCCCAAAAAAGGGAGACAAACAAGAAGGGGATGACACTTGACTGGAATGAAGTGATAGCGCGCGGCGGCATAATAATAGGTTCCAGACGGAAAGTAGCTTCGCAGAAATAAGGTAGGGATGTAGAAACACGGCTTTTGGGGGGGCTTTTAGGGGAGATTCAAGGGTCCAAAGAACATGGTCCGCCGTTGGTGGACGTTCCTACGAGGAGAACTGGTAAAGTAAAAGTCATCTATTAGTTCGTCCTGACGAATGCCAGAAAAATTCCCACAAAGCGATTGTTTGGGAAGGGGTATAGAGTGGGAGGGGAAATAAGTAGGGAAAATCAGAAAAGAAAAGAGTTCCACCGAACTCCATCCAACCAGCTCATAGCACCGCTTGTGCGGCTGCAGGTAGTGACGATGGAGGTGCTGAGATTTGCAGTCAATCCGCTGCTTATAAGGCGTTTTGGCTTGTCTGATGACGCAACGGATTCAGCGACGATAGGAAATGTTGACTAACTGTAAATTAAGCAGTAATCTGCACATTCGAATCCATTCCATATGCGGCCGCGAAGAAAAAAAAAGGAAAATGAAAAGAAAAGAAAAGAAACAGATCCGGGGAAATCGGCAGGCTGGGTAATACTTTTGTGAGAGAGCCAGTGCGTGCCCACTGCGTATGTGTGTGGCATTGCGCGAAAATCAAGACTTGCAGCAACACTGCGTCCCTGACAGGATCCAGCATGGTCTATTCCCGGATCCTGGGATTTCTATCGAACATCTGGTATCCAGTCGTTCGAATACAGCCCTGAGAGAAGGGTACTGAGACAGTCTCCGTTGGTAGTATGACAACACATTACCGGTGTGTCCGGCAAGAGCCTGAAAGAGGTCTTGGTCATCAACAAACGAACACCAACAGCAGCTCCTTATATGATACCCCCGGAAAGTGTTCGCTGTAAAGAACAGAACAATGAGCACTGGTATAGTATGAATGCAGTCATTATTATCGCTTCCAAATGCCCCAAAATTGATATTTAAAAGGGCAGCTTGACATGGCAGGTTAACCATCACCAAGTACTGAGAAGTAAGCTACCCCGACGAGCCGCCTGATGCTGAATCAGTTTGAGGGGTCAATCATCTGAGAACCCCTGGTCTCTTTGTATACACCCCCTCGTGAAACCAGGGAGGCTGCTGTTTGATTTGCTGCGCCACTGTCTGAAAAGACGCAGCACCGACGGGAATTATGTAAAGATGAGAACGCGATGTAGCGAAGGGTCGGTAGTTGCAGATCGTACCGCATGATGCAGAATCAGCACATATTGTCATTAGAGCCGCTGATTGGTCTATGTATATAATTGTCAGTTCAGTATAATTAGTGATACGCCTGATACTCGCTGACTTCCATAATCGCTTTTGACAGCGACTGGTTCTGTTGCAGATTGAGAAGCTACCAAGGATTCATGTGAGCAAGAGATATAGGAGGCCACCGTGGTGGGAATTATAATTGCCCAATACAGAAGTCGCCTGCAGCATCTTGAACTTGAAGAGACAGGAAAGTGACGTTGTGGGAGTTGTAAAGAACCCACTAGAAAGCTGTTTGGTGGAGTCGAGGAGTTCCATACTGTATCCGAGCTGCCGGTCCCATGCGGAACTCTGTCCCGAGACAAGAACCTGCAGGCGTATAGAGTCGCTCGCAGCAGAATAAACATTGGTTGATCAACTCTGACCGCCAATTTTCAATCTTGCCATCTTGTCATGCAGTCTCTAGTGCCTCTGAAAATGCATCACCTTCGAGATTGGAGCCTCTTCTGGCTTCGAGGTATTTTTGATTACAAACTCGCTGCCAGGTCTCTTGCTGTGACTCATCATCTTACGCCGAAGCAAGAGCATGTCATAGCTGAAGAAGACCGTAAAACCAAAACACCAGTGACAGTTGTGGAGAACGGAATAGCCGTCGCTCATAGTTCCAGCCGCTGCTGATGGTGGCGTGCTGTGGCTATTGGATCATTGCACGGGCCACTACGGTAGGCCAAAGTGCTGGCTAAGCGTAGCCGGAATAGACTATCCTCGACAGGGCTCGAAGTCAACGTCACAAAGGCGTTGCCAAACAAGAAAGTTGAGAAAAGCGGTTTTGTCAGGCGACTGAAGAGTGCAGGCCCGTGCCGCCTCTCTTCGATAGTGCTTAAGATAAAAGATCCCTAGTAGGGGGTACATTCGTTTGAGTGATGCGTGTGTGGCCTCTGGACTGGCGAAGTAAGCTTTTCATCCTTGCAATGCGGTATAGGATCCCTTGAATGGCCACCGCCCCAGGTTGTTTCATATTTGCTGACTGGTATAGCGTAGTTAGTGCTCTGACCCACATTCAAGGTCCAGAGCGAAAGTTTCTTTAACCGACAAAGGAGGTGGTGTTTTTAGTGCATTAGCATCGTAGCGAGTGTTCGCCTTTCGCGACTTGGCGAACAGGGCTACTGCATGTGAGTGGTTGCCTTACCGACAAGAACAAATGATGTGTCTTGACGGTTGAATGGCTTCCCTGGGTTCTGTGCGATTGGCTGTATGCTGGCGGATTCAGCACCAGCCAGAGATTGGCGTTTCTCCCTGTGATCCATGCAGTATCCTGAAGTTCCTGGAATTTATGTGTACTTAGTGCCCACTCTTGGGTTTGCGCTCGGGTGGCTGTTGGTCTGGACCTCTGGCTCTGGAGGCTACCATACTGCAGCCGTTAGCAGGTCAATAACTACATTGACGGCCCTGCTTGTGCACACGACCAACCTTCAGTGCCGCATGCCCTGTTTTTCAATATTCTGGTGCCGCTCCACGCTCGAATCCCGTTCTCTCGTGTCTTGCAGCCGCAGCCCTGCGTTGGCATTGAAGTAGCGAGGCGATCGGTCAGTCGCTGACTCGGCCGAGGCAGCTGGATTTCACTTAGCGCTGCGTGTGAGCAGCCCCGAGCCATCAGCCTCGAGCAGGCAACTGAAAGATTTTCAAGTTCGCAATACGAGGTCCCCAGAGCCGACCGCACCCAAAGAGAATCAAAGCGACGGAGTACGGAGTAGTCGTTCCGGAAAATGTCTGGCTTAAACCAGCAGAATTATAGTGGAGCACTCAAACCGGGGAGATCTGGATATAACCTCCTTAGACTGGTTCACACGACGCCAAGGTGGAGTGGGAATGTACCGAGCAGACTTGGAATCAATCGCTGATGAGTCCCAAAGAGTTGTCCACTGAGGAGGAGCATCGAAGGGGAAGATCTGGAGGTGGAGGAGGAGGAGGTAGGGGGAACAACTTGGAAAGAAGGAAGGGGGTGAATCAAGTGACCGGCACCCCATCACAACACAAGCAATTTGGCCCCATCCATTGCACCTCCGCCGTAAAGCATTCCACGGTTTCAGGCGTCGCCATACCTAAGCGTCTGGTTGTACTTTCGACCACATAAAAACTATGTGCCTGGTGTGAAGTGCGAAAGGGAAGCAGGGAAGGCTCAGACTCCGGTTGGGGTGTTCCGATATGGAATGGCGGTTGGAGTACACCGGAACCAGACTTTCGTCGACCAGACAACAGTTACCCTTGAACTCCCCATTCACCTTACGTCGGGCTCTCCGGTTCAGCTTGTCCGATCATGAATGCCTTCAGCAGGATGGCTATGATATTAGACACGGAGCTCGACACCAAGGCACACTTTACAGTACCCCAAAAAGAACATCATTTGATTATCATAAGTCCTCGGAGATGCACTGCATAGATAACGAAACAAAGAAAACGCTGAAATGGGGCTTGGGGCGAGGTGCCAATCAGACCCGTAGGCCAACAAAAAAAAAAAAAAAAAGACAGAGAGAGAAAGAGAGAGATGAAAAAAAGCAAATCAGCAACTATTCTGACTGCATGACGCTATCACCTCCGATCCCTCTTGGATGCTGATCCTCGAGCTTATGGCAGTCCGTCCTACGAGTCCTCATGCAATCAGATTACTCGCTCAGATGAAGGAAGAACTAGTGCATTGGGCGTAAGGAAGCAGGGATAACCTGGCGTCCGGACCGACAAACATTATTGTGCCTGTACCTCTGTTGCACTTACCGAGTCATAGGATCCTAATCTTCTCGAATCCGGCATTGGCTTCCAGACAAAGGCAAGTTCGTCCCGCGTTGACTCAAGACTGCTGTTTACTTGCTGATTGCGAGAGCATACCGGCCCGTGTCTCTAGTATATATGGGTCATGTCGTCTGTTTTCATCCACCATCCGCGGAGAAAGCATTGCAGTCACAGGAGATATTCTACTTTGGGTGCGTGAAGCAAGGCACATGTCGGGCTGATTGTCACACATCTACGAGTCTCTATCGTAGATAATACTCCATTCCTCGATTAAAGAATTGGCTACATGGTGCCATCTCAGCCGAATAAGGGTAATTCAAGTATGAAGCGTATTGACAATGCTCTACTTCTGGTTGTCGCATACAGATACTGACTGTACTTTACAGGCAGGCTAAGAAAGGGTCGTGGCTGCATGCCTCGAGTCACAAGACCTCTGCGTACAAATGAAGCCCAGAGATGATAATAACAACCTCCCTCATGGTAACAAGTCCGGGCTTGGATCCACATCAACATAATATCTCGTCGCACTGCTGCCGATTGGAGTGACACGATTGCTGGAGCAGTGTGTCGGTCGGTCATTGAGAGCGTTAACACTCAGGATGGACCTTAGACCGAACCGCAGATTCGGAGGTCCTGCTTCTATGCAATGTTGGCTTGCGCCATGGACATGTCCAATGAAGACCGCAACCGGCTGCCCATGAAAGCGATCCCATGCAAAAATATGTCCCGTCTGCTCCCAATTAGTGGCATCTTGCGTGTTTCGCTCTTGAGACATCTTTGGCCTTGCGACCAAGTATCCAAGCTGCATCAGATGTAGTGATCGCTTGCCGGCAAGACATTGACCGCTAGCATCTGGGCTAACGCGAAGTAAACCTAGCGTAGAGGGTGTCCAAGGCTTGGAAAAGTTAGTCCCAATGGGCGATAGAGAACCTGTAAATTCGAGTGGGGCATGCTGGGGACACCAAGCATACTCCATATTTGTATCTGCATCAGGGATGACCAGACTAGACACCAGGCTCCCTTCATGTTCATTGAGCGAATCGGCAATCTGACCAAGGTCAGCTATCGATTTTGAGCATCCAAAGCGATGAATTTGCGTAAGAAGCCGCTCAATGCTACCATAGCCAGTGCTATCCCCATCCATGGTCAAGAATGATTTTTCACTAGCGACCGTGAGGGGTTCAGAAGCACTTGAATGGAGGAGCAAGTTAGATTGCCAGCGGATGCCCAGCCGATCCTCCATGTCTGTGAGAAGCCGATTCAGAATTTCGGTATGTTCTACCTCGCCAACTAGGGAAGCTTGAAGTTCATCAGCGGGGAAAGCGTAGCAAAGTGACTTGGCCCTCGAAAGGAACGGTAAAGTACTATTGGCGCGCTCTGATATTTGTTTCAAGAATGTAATGGCTTGTTGCGTATCTCCGGCGTCAATCAAGGCCTCCACGCACGTGTATGCAGCTCGAAATTGATTCTCGTGCGACTCAGGCGACAGATTCTCTATGATTCTAGCCCATAGAGTGTCTTGTAGTGCCTTGCTGTTCATTTTGACGAGCAAGGTGAAATAAGAGCCCGACCATGAGCTCCGATGGTCAGGCCCTGCCCAATATAATATATCATGCAAGCGGTTGCTGCTCGGTTGGACATCTCCAGTCACTAGACTAACCATTGCACCTATGTCCTGGGTTTCCTCGCAGAATTCAAGATACTTGAAGACATCAAGGAGAGCGTGAACTAGAAGTCTACTCTCGTTCGGACCCAGGCGTTGCGAGCCGCAGGCTAGATAGCCTTCCAAGTAGCGCTTGAGAGCCGAAACTGAGAATGCAAGTGCTGCATAGTACATGCCCAGTACATAAAGACGCTGCGAGCAACGCCCATTTATCCTCTCTACACGCGTAATAATCCCATGGATAGCAGAGAGAACTTCTCGGAATTGGTTGTGCCGCTCGCAGAGTGCTAACGCTCTCGATAGAGGAACGCATTGCCGGGACTGCAGAAGTCTGCATCCTTCCTTGTTTATCACATTACTCTCAATGAAGACTTGCAGATCAATAAGACTTCTTATGTGTCTGGTATCGAGGTGCGAGGCCTCAGGAGCGTGTCTTTTTGAGTCTGGCCAAAGAGTGGCCAAAAGGGGCGAAGGCAGGGAATCTGTTGGCCACTTATTCCGAAGGCTTTGCGATAGATGTGATTCCAAGATTGGATCAAATAAATGTTGCTCAGGCCGTTTCAGCGTAGCAGTCAGGGCGAACCGAAGTGTTTGGGACGGGGTGGCCTTGGGATATGAAGACCTCTGCTTGGCGCTTAGGTCAACATGGCGACGGAGCGTTATGTGGCATGGCACTGGTCTCTGGTCCAGTCTGCGCCCAGATACAAGCAGATGACTATGAGTCCGTGGGCTCGGCATAGAGCTATAATAAAATGGTTGAGCTCAGAGGTCGATTGATCAACCGGAGTTTATTGTATGACATGCTACCGAGAATGTGTGGGGATGAGTGGGCGGGCGGGTCGGGGGAGGAGATAAGGATAATCAGACAATCAGGGGAAAGTCAAAAGGCGGTCGGAAGGGCGGCGAGTCGTGCAAATCCGAGCCAGAGCTGACCTCAGCCTCAACCTTGATTTCTTTCATCATCCATGCTGGTAACACGAACTCCAGCCTTGACTTCTTTCATTACCCAGCGCTCTATTTTCACGTTGCTTTGAACCCTATCTTCAATTCTAAACATCATCGCAACCCGATTCTGTGCAGACTTCGGCGAAATGCCCACCGAACACAACATCGAACAGCCTGCGGCAAGCAATCCTGACTCTGAGCAGGAGCAGCCAGCCGAACAGCCAGGCGATGCCTCCCAGGAGTCTACCGCCAGTGACGCCGTAGAGGAGGTCTCGGAGAAGGTAGATAAGACAGAGGATGATGCTGCTTCCAAGGCCCGCCTGCGCAAAGAGAGATTCAAGGCTCTTCAGGCTCGCGCAGTAAGCACTCCACAAATTCACCTTGTCTAAAATGCGCTTTTTTACTGATATCTTTTCCCCTCCAGAAAACGGCTACAGAGCGCAACCTGAAGGAAACCGCCGCCGAAACACAACGCCTAGCGACCGACCCGGCATTACTTTCATCGATCTCGCGCAAGCACGCCTTCGCATCGCACAACCTGCTAAAAGCTGATACAGAGGCCGCGGGCGAGGATTTTGAGCGCAAGCGCGCTTGGGACTGGACTGTGGATGAGTCTGAAAAATGGGACAAGCGGATGGAAAAGAAACAACGCCATCGTGACGACGTTGCCTTCGAGGACTATACGCAAGATGCGCGCAAAGTTTACAAGAGACAGCTGCGCGAATTACAACCTGACTTGGAGGGTTATGAACGAGATAAGATGGCGGCCATCGAAAAAGCCGCCGCCAACGGGGACCTCGAAATCGTGGAAACTAACGACGGCGAAATGATCGCTGTCGATAAGAACGGCACCTTCTATTCCACGGCAGATACTGTCGGATTCACGGAAAACAGGCCTGATCGGGCAGCTGTCGATAAGCTGGTCGCGGACTTGAGAAAGGCTGAGGAGGTTCGACTCAAGAAGCGGAGAGACCGCCGCGGAGATGATGATGGTGACGTCACCTACATCAATGAGAAGAACAAACAGTTCAACCAGAAACTGGCTCGCTTCTATAACAAGGTATGTACCGTTTATTTCTTCTTCTGGTATCAAGTCTGATCGTGCAACAGTATACAACCGAGATTCGTGACAGCTTCGAACGTGGAACTATGATCTGAACGGATCCAATCATTATACCTACCAACGGCCACACCCACGGAATATTCCAATATTGGTTGATTTCTGAGTGGCTCTGCACGTCCCGGTCGTTACATGCGGTCTCCCTTGCTGGGGGTCATCTTTCAGAGCAATGCGATCAAGCTCGAAATAGCCCAGTCGCCTTAGAGCCAAGCTCTGACCCATTGAGCCTAAAACTACGATGCCAGTCACGTTGAGCTCCATTTGCAGAGAGCAAGGGCGCCCTTTGTTTCTGAGGTTGGCAGAAATCGTAGGGGAAAGATTTAGTCTAGGGGTATCGATTGGTAGCCTTCTCTGTACAAATACACTATACCAGCAGCACTTCATTGCTTCCACTCCACCTTGAAGCAGTGCCGCTCTGCAGTTCTTCCAAGAGCTGCCTCATGCTTGAATATCCAACCTCGTCTGGAATACAGCCAACAGTCAGCGATTCGAGCAGTGGTCGGACCACTCCTCAACTTGTGAGGGCTTGTTGCACACCGGGGCTCTTTATCATTCTGTGACATTTTTAGCATCGAGTTATAGAAACCAAAATCCAATAATACCGTGTGATTAAATCAATGCTCAAAGCATGCTTTTTCTCCAAGCCTTCGTGGCTAGGGCTTCAATCTTTTGTACCCCCAATGCTCCGCGAACAGACTCATCTTCGAGGGCCTCTGCTACAGCTTCCCCTACGTCGTCCACCTTGAGTGGCTTGGTTACCATCGAGCCAAGAAAATCAAGCTTGTTTCCCAGCAGAGCATTGACCTGGGATCCGACAAAGCCACCGAGTGCAATCGGCAGGGTGAACTTTCTACTCTCATCGTACATAAAGGGTGCCTGCACGAACACGTTTCGAAGTTCCGGTAGCTGCGCTGCTATGATCGATTCCGCCTCTCTCTTGGTTGTGATGTACCGACTGGGAAGGACCGGTGCTCCCGACGCAGCAGAAATGTAGACAAAGGTAGGAACCCGCTCATGGTGTGTCTCTTGGGCGAGTGCGATAGCTAAACATCATGACCCCAACCGTCAGCATCCAGGCCAAAACTCTCTTCTTCTCTAATTAGGACCGAAAACCCCTCATCCAAGCACTGCATACTCACCGGAATCCCTGTTCATCAGCTCGTATGTAAACTGCCCGCTGCGGTCCCGGACCTCAAGCGGCTCGCCCTCTCGTCTCTCCCCGGGATCCTGACTGCCAGGCCTCGAGGCACTGAAGGCCCTTTGTAAGCCACTGAGAATCGGCTCCCTGCCCTGCACCACTCCTTTGTAATCCGCCTCGAGGAGGATGCCCATGCTGTGGACCACGGCCGTGGCGCCATTCAGGAAAGCCTTGTATGTCTCGGGTTTGAGGATATCGGCCTTGGCCCATTCGACGGAGCTCGCCCAGCTCGGGCGATTGACCGAGTCTGTGACGGCATCCCACCGCGGTTCGCCCGAGCGACTATGCCGTGGCGATCAGTAAGATTGCGCGAGATTGAACAACAATTTATCCGACCATCAGTAGAATCATATACCTGAGTGACGTGACCGACCAGCCCCTAGCGACGGCAGACTTGCAGATCCTCGAACCTGTTGGAGGGGAGAGTTTCGTCAGTCGATTCCTTGCGCGCGCGCGCGCCGTGCGAAGTATACTTACCTAAGAAACCATTACCACCCGCGACAACAACCCGTTTAGCAGCCATCTTGCTAACTATATAGTTCTATCACACAGTATGTGCGTGCGGTTATAGCGCAAATAGAAGGATAAGAAGAGGAGCAGTGAATTTCAAAGTAACATGGTCGAATGGGAGTATTTGAAAAAGAGAGCTTAATCGCCGGAGCCAGAAGAATAGCTGCGGAAGCTTCCGAGGAATTCCTTATCGTATCACCACCCGCCGTTGTCACGTGCCGTTGCGGCGAAAGTCGCGACAGGGACATAGTCACTTTGCGTCCTACGTGCGTCCCTCATCGCAATTCAATCCCAACACATTTGTCCTCCATCACGACTACAATCTACAAAGGGACGTCTCAAGCTCAAGCATGCCTTCTGCAACGGGTACAAAGCGCGTGAGGGTGAGCGTTTATTCTATCCCGTATATGCATCAGAGGGAGGCAGGACCAGGCCGCTGACAAGAAGAATCTCAAGGGTGTCTCTGTGTTTCGTCCTTTTGGTACGCCAGCACGAATTTACTCACACCACTCGCTATGCTGTACTAACACTCGATGACCCCAGTCTTCGGCAGCGAAGCCCAACCGTTCGATCCTGCGAAGAAACCTCCCCACGTGCCCGCCGACCACACCCACCAATGGCGCGTCTTCGTCAAAGGCGTCAACGGCGAAGACATCTCCTACTGGCTGAAAAAGGTCCAGTTCAAGCTGCACGAGACGTACGCGCAGAATGTCCGGACCATCGAACAGCCCCCCTTCGAGGTCACGGAGACCGGGTGGGGTGAATTCGAGATCCAGATCAAGCTCTATTTTGTGCCGGAATCCAACGAGAAACCTCAAACGCTGTGGCACAGCCTGAAGCTGCATCCGTACGGCGACGATGCGGAGGGCAAGAAGGAACGCCGGGAGATGGTGACCAGTCAGAACTACGAGGAGGTGGTTTTCAACGAGCCGGTGGAGCAGTTCTACGAGCTTCTGACCGGAGGCCCCGCGACGACCGCGCAACCGCAGAAGGGGAAGGGTGGGAAGAACACCAAGCAGGCCCAGCAACAGAAGAACGGCCGGACGGCGGAGATCCCGCTCAACAAGACCCCGGGCAACGAATACAGCAAAGCGGGAGAGGCCAGTGAGATGGACCGCCTGGCGGAGGCCAACAAGACGGTCGAACAGATGATCAAGCAGGAGAAGGAGAGACTCATCGAGCGTGAGAAGAGACTTGCCGAGTTACGCGCGAGCGAGGGCGTTCCAGCCATTACCAAGAAACGCTAATTGAGGTCTCGGAAGTCAGATCCTCGTGGCATCATGTCCCGTGAATCGCGTTTGACTATCGGCCAAGTGATGGCCTCCTGACTATCCAGCCTCCGAGCACACGACTAGCATCCAGGACTGTCACCACAAAATACAAGTTCTCTCCCGCATACGCCAGATGCAGAAGGCAGCAGGTGCCGCGCTAAGTGAACGACCAGGTTCAAGCTCCATTCTGGTATGGGAAAATCAAAGAATACCCGCAACGAAGACTCGGTTTGCGCTATGTCTATCTGATGCCTCCGAGAGACAGATGTTCCTGTTAGACCTGCGTGCATCTCCGCAACCCAACGATAGGTACCGAGTAACTCTTCCGCTCACGTCCGCATTGTCACCGTGGACTCATCTGCCAGAAACCGGACAACGCAGTCCAAGTCTGGCATTGAATGCCCGGGGGTAACCAACCTTGCTTCTTGGTATCACCCTAATGCTAAGCAGCCTATAGAGGCGCTTGAGATGCCAGCCCTTAGCTTTTTGTGAGACAATCAAAGATATCGTCTTATTTCCGCAAGAAGAACGATAGTGGAATACTCATCAAACTGTCTATTTCCTTATAGCCCGTTCACCAGAAATTTACCTGCATCAACATAAAAATAGTTCGAGGTGTTCCACGCGCTCATCCTCTCCCCATTCAGGTCAAGCTTTGAATTCTCATTGACGAGAATTCACTGCGGCCCTAGTCATTGTAGTAACCGCGTTTGAAATGAATGAGCTATTAGCTGACTTGATCGAGGCAGCATAGAGCCTTCTCCGTTATCCGAGGGGCCGTTAATGTAATCTCTTCCCAAGGGAGGCCTCTCTTTCCTTGCCACGGTGAATGCGTAAAATAGAGGAACGGGATTGATGCTTTGCACCGCCAATTTTAATTGTCGTTTCCGTGGGCCGAGAACACATCAGATTCCTAGTTTGAAAGGACCTTGCCCGCCATCCCATGTTCTCACCTACATTCAATGCTGTCTTGTCGATCATAAGTTGATACATGGAAGAATATTCTCAATCAAGAATATCCAGAGTCGAATCATTCAAGACGATGGAGTGGACGACAGTAGAGCTGGTAATTTTATTTGCATGGAGGGACAGCCACGATAGTTGACCACATTGGCAGCGAATACGGCGAAGTCAGTGGGGTTCACTTGGTCCTCAATCTGCTCTCAATGACTCAAGTGTTGCTTGATGGGGAATCAAGCTGCAGATTATGTGAAATCGAGGTCGGGCATCGTGTGCAAGAGCAGTGGTTCGCTGCAAGTGGGATCAATGTAAGCCGAGAGAAGCCCAGGTGAGAAGAGGCCCTGAACATCCGCGTCTGCTGAGCGTAAGGCACCCGGAATCCCAGGGGCAACGATCCATGCACTACTATCGATAGTCGAAGAATTGCTCGAAGCATCAATGCGGGAGGCTGGCGGTGCACTGCCACTGGCCTGTGGATAGCGAGACTCGATCCAAGCCGTAAAGGTTTCCGACGCTGCATTTCTTAGATAATGGTGAGCCCTGTTGGCTACTGACCACTTGTTTTTCAACGTCTTCAGACAGCCAAGAACAAGGATTATGCGGTTACAGTGATGATCCGAACACTCCGGCGGATGGATTCGACTGGTAGCAAGCTGCACCATGCCGCATAGCACAAGTCCAAACACGACAAACGGACTATATCTCTGAACGCTTGGTCGCACAGACAGCAGATTCGACAGTTGCTTAGAGGCTTCTGTGGCTTTAATGTCGTGGACATGCCGGGTAAACGATGGCGAGAGACGGGATGGGATTACTGGACTGATGGGAGCCCCTGTGTCTGGCAGAGCAGGTCGCAGATTGCTTCTCGGGAGATGTAGAAGCATGGCCGCATAATGAATTGTTGTATGTGCTTGAAAGAGCATTTCATCAATGCTGCCGTACATATCCACAATGTCCACTTTGGTTGATGGGAGGTGGTTTGTCCAGCTGACAAGCGCATTTTCCACAGCTTGCAGATGGTCCCTGTGTGTCTCGGGTAAACTGTTAAGCACGATGACACGAGCCAGAATACACACTGCTTCAATACGATAACTGAAAGATGAATACCGAGACTGGTCAGCCTCGCCATCATCATCATCGTCAGCAGTGAAAATCCGTTTGTTGAATCCAGCAAGGGTTGGCGGGGTTGGGATGTTCGAATGGTTGACATAGGCCGATTCTTCACAAGGCAGGGCAACGTCATATGGAACGCTGCTGCATCGCAGGACGACCTTTTTCTGTAAAGCAGCCATATAGACGTCCACGGTGAAGAGCTCCCACCACGTCCTGCGCAGACTTTCTGCTTCAACGTCTCTTTCGTCGCATGATGTTGTCGCAAAGTCTCGTCGGTACATGCCCAGCTCCAAAGCGATGTCAACCGCAGTAGAGAACATGATCTGGGCTTGCGGGCATTCTTCGCGGGCGCATAGCAGTATTGAGTAAAGGAGAAGGGCCTGAACTTTGCACGGAGTCCTCTCACCGCTGGCGCTCAACTCAGCCAGTGCTGATTCAGATAGCGACGCACTCGACTGCGGCAAGAAATGGCTTCCTATCAGGACAACCACCTCGTGCAAATACTTCGGATATTTGCGCTCCTCATAAAGAGGAGCGGGGACCAAGATTGGGTGCGCAGAGTGAAAGTTCTCGTAATACAGGCGAACCAGCCGGGCATCGGACTCAGTTGGGTCTTGAATATCCTCCGCTAACTGGATCGGAAGGTCTTGCTGCCCCGAGGAGGAAGGCGATACCTCTGTCATATTGACACTAGAAGCATGGTGGGGGATGATCGTGCTTGGTGTAGCTAGATGCGAAGTCATTGGCTGCTGCTGTAGAAGACGAGGATAGCTGGGAGTTGTAGCTAGGGGCTGTTGTTGAGTCGCACCCTGAGTCTTCCGCCTTCCTCCCCGCCGTGAGGGTAAATACAGACAATTGAATCGATTTTCAAGACAGCGGGAGCATGACGGTGTCTTTGCGTCGCATTTGAGGTGTTGCTTGCGACATTCCGTGCAGGCAAGTGGTGCTGGGCGGACCATGTTGAGATCCGCAAGGTGAGCAGTGAACTTACACAGAATCTTGTGCCCGGAAGCCACTGCATTTGAAGTAAACACAGGCGCCTACAGTACTGTCAGAGGCCCAGTGCATTTTCGGTGAATTGAAGGAAGCGAGGCGCATTTTAAGACAGTAATGCAAAGGCCGATGCTGAGCGGCGATTGAAGGAAAACGACACATTGCTTGGGTATGACTCAGCAGTGTTTATGCATGCACATCTTAACTCTCATCTGTTCTCGACTTTCGGTTCGCTGTCGAAGTCTACTCTCTTAGGCTCTCTCAAGTCTCTTAATTCGACTACGCGTACTAGAACTGCAAAACATAAAATCTATTCATTAATCTAGTTCGTTATTCATTACGTGCACCGGACCATGGCCCATTCATGACAAAATCCTACGCCTGGTAGACATGACTTCTCCGCCCCGACTCCCGGTCATAGATATTGTACCCGAAGTCCGCTGCATTCGGAGGCGTATACACTGTTGCCAGTTAGTCGGAGCCTGTTACATTTCAGGTGATGAGGGGTGCATACAATGCAGGGAAACGGCAAGTTGATCACTGCGAGGGTTCATGACCCGGTGCAGTCCAATCTGATCACAAATGTAGGCCACTTCGTCGGTTCCATACGTTGTGTCCTTCTTCACTCTTAACGGGGCCTCATGGCTCTGTTCGGGGTCAGGAGTGTAATAGATTGCCTCATTCAGCTCGCCAGCGAGAATCTTCATGATGCAATGCGCATTTGCATGATCATGGATCGGGGATCCTTTCTCGGGGTTCCAGACTAGAACCAGCTGCCACCATGGTCAGCTGAAATACATTCAGCCCCTCGCGACTGAGACATTACTTACCAGATTTGCCTGTCCGTTGATATTGGCTACTAGGTTGCGTGTATAGTTCTTGCTTGGGTCGTTCCGTGCAAAACGAGACCAGTCTGCTCGGTTGGAGGCATATTTGGACATGAAAGCCATGAGGACACGGTGGTCAACTTGTTCTGTACCAATGCCCCGCGAGCTGCCAAGGTACATCTTCAAGTCTTGGACCAGCTGGTCAAAGGTATACTCCCCATGCTGCAGCGACGTGATGCTGTCTTTTGTAACGGGAGACGAAGTGAAGTTCGAGGCAAGCAGGGTTGAAGACATGGTTCAGCGGTCGATAGCAGTCAACGAGCCCAATTGAGAGAGAGTCGATCCGGTAAAATGAAGCTCCTGGCAGGTATAATTGTAATATGGGTAGTCAAGAATGACACTTGTTGTGGCAATGCACTGCGACTTCTTATAAAGCTGCTTGATATAACTAATATTTGAGTCTACACAGAACCAGTCGGCGATTGAGCCAGCTGGTCGGCGATTGACATTTTGTCCAGTGGAACCGCCGACGCGTCAGCCAATAATCTGCTCTTTCCGCCCTGGCACGACGATAACCGACGATAACCAGCGCATATCGACATCTCGATTCCTGGATATGAGTTACGCAGTCTCTCGTGTGCTGCTGAATACTGGTCTTTTGCTTGGTCGCTAACTCCAATTTCTTCTGGAAGCCATGATACTCTGTCACAGTGTATCAGAGGACATACTTCAGGTAAAATCCACAGCAAATGAGAGTTTAATTGCTATGGCACCCAGTAGTGTTGTTGCCTCAAAAAGCGCTTCATCTTCCAGCAATTTTATGGCCGGCAATCTGGACAGAGGCCGTAGCCATAGCAAAGCATTCGACTTAGGTATCTACAGGCTGAGAGTTATTTATGCAGTAGTTTACCAAAGTGAGTCAGTCATGTCCATTGTCGAGCAAGAAGAACATTATGATGAGGTTGACACTCGATCAGTAGCATCTGACATGTCAGAGCCTCAGGATGAGGCAGTAAGGGATATTTATCAGTGCCAGAGGATAATCCTATATCCATAAATTGTGCTGTTGGCCTTAGCTGGTCTCACGAGGGCGAGTCCTAGCTAACCTAGTGGTCAACAGCATGACGACGAGTAGATGCCCAATGCGCAAGCGAAGAGCCAGTAGATAATTGTCGGATCATGTACAGTACTATACAGCTAGAAAAAGCCAGGACTTGTGCCTTTTGCGCGGCAGATCTACAACAAAAGGTCGTGACGATGTCTCGTAAGACCAGGGCAACCCCCAGCTTCACTCCTTTTCTGTGTTCCAATCACCTCTGTGAGATTAGGTAGATTTCCCATGCCCTACCAGATGTCCAGATTCACAGAGTAGATATCCCTAGTAACATACACAACAAGCAATGCACGAATGGAGACAAATATGTCATGCCTATCATGGTTATCCCTCTACATCGCATAGGGCTTGCAATCCTATTCGCATTTCCCGACGCATTACCATCGCGCCCAGAAGCCCCGATGTATACGCAACACCAATCTGCTTCGTGATAGCTCACTGGCCGGGAATTGCGGTGAAACTGAATCGCCATATTGCCCTCGATGATGCGATAACAGATCGCCGATCGAGGATTGACTTCAATCGCCGAGTACCTTGTCCTCCTCACCAGCTCTTAGCCAGGGCGATCCAGTGCTGCATGTACTGTATATGCTTAAGGTTTCGGGTGATCTGTCCGGTCAAACGACCTCCCTAGGATTGAGTACAATACAAAACAGTAAATGTTTGTTAGCCTTGTTATTGGAGAGATTCTCATGCCTGAAGGCAACAGGCCGTCATACGCAAAGGAGAACATATTGGGGAAAAAAATAATAGAAACTTGGTGGGTAGGGCTGCAAACAGACCAACACATTCGATTTGACCCAGTGTAGCTTGGTTGTGGTGTTGTGGGGAGCATAGGTACCAGCTATCATATAGTAACTATATGCTCTTACTGGGGCAATCCAAGCTTCCCCTTCCCCACACACTCAGTTTAACCTTCTGACGGCCTTAGAGCTCCATGACCCAACCCACAATGACACCGGCCCAAATTGAAAGATTGCTACCATGACATCACGTCCGCATGATAATGATCAAGAGTGCTGACCAAAAGATAACTACCGGTGCTTGTCCTCGTCCCGGTCCTATCAACAAGGTCCACTCTCGCTGCATTATCATGGATCAAGGGATGAATAGTACGCCGTAGTGCCTCCCGTATCTGCCCGTCTCACCGACGGATGTCGCCGTGGTGGTGACCCGGAATCGCTTCCGCTTCCGCTTCCGCTTTCGGTCCGCCCTGGCTCGTCAAGCAGGTCAGGGGGGGCTTTCACCAGATGACGGGACTAGAATGTTGGCCAAGATCGTCAGCATACATAATATTTCAAGCCGAAAGCATGCTTTTGGATGAGGTCACATCATGCTTCGAAGATTTATTTCATGTTCGTATTCGTTGCTTTTTTCGTCATTCTTTTTGGAGCAACATAATCTCTCACTCGGGATGTACTTACTGTGCTATATATGATTTTGCATCGTAAGGAAGGGGCTAATCTGTACCTCCGGTAGGGATCTTGCAACTTATCGCACAGCAATCGATGACGATGCTGTGGTGATCTGACAATAATTCATTGGTTTCCTTATTATATTTCCTCACAATAACGCTCGAATAAAGGGCCCGGACAAGGTGTCTTGAAGGATGATGCCAGTAGTATGACTGCGATAATCAATAAACATATTATTAGAGTGAGAGACTAGGATCATTACGATTCGAAGTTAAGTGGCAGAAAAGTCGCTGTTTATCGTGGCATTCAATTATGTACAGGGATGATGGTGATGATGCTGTTCCCATATCTCAAACAAGCAAGTCACACAGTATACCAGGCAGTCGCCACACTCAACCCGAGTAGCAAGCTGCAGCCTTGGTAGTATCTCGTGTTTGCTTCAAAAACGGAATCAGGTCAGTCCCTCCAGTGCCATGGACTCCATCAATAACTCCTTGTCCATTCCAGCTTTCCATGCGCGTGGACGTCCTGGTCGCCAGATTGATCTGCGAAGACGTCTCACTTGAGGACGTATAGCGCGCGGGCCCGATAATGTATCGTGTCACCATCTTGACATGCTTGTCTCGAAATCTTCCCAATGACATCACGGCTCCGTTGTATGCATCCCGTACAGGCGAGTCAGCCTTGTGGCTCAGGGCATATGAGCGGATATTGGCTGTGCGAACCATCATCTCGAGGAAGCGGCGGTGAGGTCCTGGCATGTATTTGCGCATTTGCTAAGTCACCAGCATTAGTACCATGGCGCGGTCACCATAACCTGGAAGTTGGTACATACCTCTATAAATCCGCCCTTGGAAGCAACAGGGGGCTTCCCGGTAGAGCCCTTGGCTTCCCCCGTGGCATGGTGCACCACACCAAGGAATATATCGAATGTCTGGATCAGAGAGCTTTGCGCATTGCTGCCGCCACTGTGCTGACGCCATTCACCTTCACCTTCTCCCATGTCGTAATACACGCCCCTCGGCAGCCCAGCTACTGCCATGTTCTTGCTACCTGCTAGGAAGGGACGTAGTTGATGATAGAACACGGTTGGTTGACAGTGCTCATACATACGCTTCAACAGCTCCCCAAGCTCGATAAGGCCTTCGGCCAGCTGGTCAAGATGTGCTTTGACCAGCACGGCGTCATCGACACTGGCGGCCTGGATGGCATTGGTCATCAGTGGGATAAGCTGTGCTCCCTTGGCCTCCAGTGCCACCGAAAGCATGAAAAACCATTCCTCATCTTTCGTGCCAGTGAACGAGTTGACAACCGATAGGTTATCGGGGTCAGTCAGGTCGGCGTTGTCTTCTGAGACTCTGAAGTTCCACAGGTTCAGAGCTGCGTACGTTGCACACGGTGGGAGTTCTAGATGTTTCGACACTTCAATAAAGGGCCGCGAGATGCAGGGTGGTAACACCTGAACACGATGGCGCCCCCATCAGCAAAGAACTAGGCATGTGGCAATGCTGAACAGCCATAAGGAAGGGTCTCTTACTTCTCGAGGTGTATCTCCACCCCAGATGTAGGCATGGGTAAGATAAGCAAGCACGACGTATGCTCTCCTCCATTCCGGCTCGGATGCTAGCTTGCTAGTGGTAAGAACGGGCAACTCATCCACCGACTGCCTTATCGCTCGCTCTTCGATACGAGTTGATAAGTTGGCGGCGATGCTTTCCCATGGGGAGTA